AGAGCAACTAAGAACAGAGCAGAGACGAAGAGCATGAGAAAAAGATTAACATTAAACATTAAAAAGATTAACATTAAAAAGATTAACATTAACATTAGAGGAGAGGTGGGAGGGAAAGGGAGAGAGAAGGGAAATTTCATGGAAATGGAAGGAGACCCTCATTGTTATACAAAATTACATATAAGAGGATGGGAGGAGAAAGGAAAAAAAACAAAACAAAACAAGGGAGAGAAATGAATTACAGTAGATGGGGTAGAGAGAGAAGATGGGAGGGGAGGGGATGGAAGGGGGGATAGTAGAGGATAGGAAAGGTAGCAGAATACAACAGTCACTAGTATGGCAATATGTAAAAACGTGGATGTGTAACCGATGTGATACTGCAATCTGTATTTGGGGTAAAAATGGGAGTTCATAACCCACTTGAATCTAATGTATGAAATATGATATGTCAAGAGTTTTGTAATGTTTTGAACAACGAATAAAAAAAAAAAACCCTCCCAAGAGGGGCTGGGGTTGTGGCTCAGAAGTCGAGCACTTGCCTTGCATGCATGAGGCACTGGGTTCGATCCTCAGCACCATGTAAAGGTGAAATAAAGGTATTGTGTCCACCCAAAACTAAAAAAAAAAAAAAAAAAACCTACCAAGAAGGAAAAGCTCAGGACCAAATGAATTCTCAGCCAAATTCTACTAGACCTTCAAAGATGAGCTAACACCAATCCTCCTCAAATTATTCCATGAAATAGAAAAGAAGAAACACTTCCAAATGCATTCTATGAAGCTCATATCACTCTAATACAAAACCAGACAAAGATAATCAAGGAAAGACAATTTCAGAACAATATCCCCAAGGAACACAGATGCAAAAATTCTTAATAACTTACTGGCAAATCACATACAAAAACATATTTAAAAAATAGGGAATCATGATCAAGTGGGCTTCATCCAAAGATGCAAGGTTGGTTCAACATATGGAAATCAATAGACATAATTTATCATATCAATAGACTTAAAGACTAGAATTGCATGATTATCTCAATGATGCAGAAAAAAATTGAACAAAATACAGCACCCCTTCATGCTCAAAACATTTTTTTAAAAAAACTAGAGATAATAGGAATACCTCAACATTGTAAAAGCTATATATGCTAAATCTAAGGCTAACATCATTTTAAATGGAGAAAAATTGAAAGCATTCCCTCTAAAAACTGGAACAAGAAAAGATGTCTTCCTTCACCACTTCTATTCAATATAGTACTGAAAATCTAACCAAAGCAATTAAAAGAAGAAAGAAGTTAAAGGAAGATGAATAGAAAAAGAAGAAAAATATCTCTATTGGCCCATGACATAATTCTATATTTAGAAAATTCAAAAATAAATCCACTAGAGAACTTCTAGAACTCATAAATGAATTCAGCAAAGTATCAGTATATAAAATTAGCACCCATAAATTAATTGTGTTCCTATATGTCAGTGATGAATCAACTAAAATAGAAATTAAGGAAACTATTCCATTCATAATCGCATCAAAAAAATTAAAATATTTGGGAATCAATTTAACAAAACAGATAAAATATCTCTGAAGTGAAAACTACAAAACTCTAAAGAAAGAAATTGAAGAAGACCTAGAATTTGGAAAGATTTCCCACGTTCTTGGATAGGCAGAATAAATATTGTCAAAATGGCCATACTACCAAAAGCACTATTCAGGGCCAGGTTTGTTGTTCAGTGGTAAAAAATAAAATTAAGTTCCATTGACAAACTAAAAAATATTTTTTAAAAAATGCTATTCAGATTCAATGCAATTTCCATCAAAATACCAATCATGTTCTTCATAGAAATAGAAAAGGTGGTCATGAAATTTATTTGGAAATGTAAGAGGTCCAGAATAGCCAATGTAATCCTCAGCGAGAAAAGCAAAGTAAGAAGCATCACAATACCAGACCTTAAATTATACTACAAAGCTACAGCAAGAAAAACAGTAGAGTATTGGTGCCAAAACAAACATGAGGACCAATGAAACATAATAGACGATAAAGAGACAAACCAACATAAATACAATCATCTCATACTAGACAAAGGCAACAGAAACATGCATTGGATAAAAGACAACCTCTTCAACAAATGATACTGGGAAAACTGAAAATTCATATTAAACAAAATGAAATTGAACCTTTATCTCTCTCCCTGAACTCAAAGTGGATAAAGAACCAACACATTAGACTAGAGACCCTGTGCCTACTAGAAGAAATGTAGGGTCAACACTGCATCATGTCAGCTTAGGAACTGACTCCCTCTTATTGAGGAAGTTTTATTGACTCCTAAAGTGCAAGAAGTAAAATACATAATAAAATAAAATAAATAATCAAGAAATGGGACAGAATCAAACTAAAAAGCTTCACAGCAAAGAAAACAATTAAGAGTGTGAAGAAAGAGCCTACAGAATGGGGGGGGGGGATCTTTGCCACCTGCAAAGATTTAATCAGATAGAGCATTAATCTCCAGATGTACAAAGAACTCAAAAAACTTTAACACCAAAAAAACCAAATAACCCAATCACTAAATGGGCCAAGGAATTGAACAGGCCTTCACAGAAGAAAAAGGAAAGAGGGTTCACCAGGTTAGACAGGGGGAGTCAGGGGAAGGGAGGGGAGATGGGAATGGGAAAGATAGTAGAATGAATCAAACCTAAACTGTCTTATGTTCATTTATGAATACATGACCAGTGTAACTCCACATCATTCACAACCACAAAAACAGGAAATTATACTATGTATGTTTGATATGTCAAAATTCACTCTACTGTCATGTATAGCTAAAAAGAACAAATAAAAATTAATAATAAGGAAAATACTTTAAACTGAATGACAGTGAAATTTATAGTATACAAATAATATAGTCCTCAAAAGAAACTTATAATTGAAATATTGAAGCTATCATATCAGTATTGAAATATTGATGAGTGGAATGATATGAAAATGATGACCTTTTCTTTTGCCTTAAAATGTTAGGAAAAGAAGAGGAAATTACACCCAGAACAAATTTTTAAAATGTAAGATTGGAAATTAATGAAATAGAAAATAGAGAAAATTAACACCACCAAAAGCCAATTATTTGAAAAGAATAAATTTAATAAACACTTGGCAGGAATGATCAATAAAATGTACCAATAAAGGATATTACTACAGATTCTATAGGTATTACAATAATAATGGGAAGATGCTATTTGCCAACCCACACAAAGTGTACAAATCCATGGAAAAAGGAATTACAAAAGAAGAAATGAAAACCTAACTATTCCAAATACTTAAAAGAACTGAATTTATAATCAAGCAATTTTGTACAAAGATAATTCCAGGACCAAATGAATTCACTGGTGAATGCTAAGGAAGATTAAATATCAATTTTATACAAACACTTTCAGAAAAAATGAAGAGGAAGAAATGTTCCCTAACTCTTATTATGCGACAATTACGATACTTTAGTAAAGTATTCCATAAGAAAATGAATAGAACATATAAATGAGTTTACAATGCATCAAAATGTAAAGCCAGTATACAAAAAATCAATTGTATTTATTCAAATTAATAATGAACATTTACAAAATGGAATATTTTAAATATATAAAACTTCAAAAAACAGACACTTAGGAATTAATTTAATGAAAGATATTTAAAATTTGTACACTGAAAACTATAAAACACTATTGAGAGAAATAAAAGAAAATCTAAATTAAATGTAGAGATACCATTTTCATTGATTGGAAGACTCACTTATTTTAAGATATCCATTCTCCCTCAACAGAAAAGAGATTCAAAGTTTTATAAGGCTTTATTCTGAATGATTTTAAAGTTTATTTAGAAAGGCAAAAGATTGAGAATAGCCAAAATAAAAATATTAGGAAATAATAAAGTTGGAAGCCAGGCATGGTGGCACACACCTGCAATTTCAGTCGCTCAAGAGGCTGTGGCAGGAGAATCTCAAGTTCAAAGCAAGCCTCAGCAACTTGGTGAGGTAGTCAAGACAATGTACTACATAAATATAGTACAAACACTTTTAAAAACTGGCAAATTCTTAAGACTATAAACATATATCTGCCTTATCTTCCATTAATTTCACTTCAAAGTATTTATCCAAGTATGCATCCATAAAAAGCCTTTTATAGCAATATTCATACAGTTTTGTACATGAAAACCAAATTTAGAAAGCAATCCAAGTGTTCATTAAGAGAGTAATAGATAAGCAAATCATGGTATGTTCATGCAGTGGATTACTACTCAGTCATTAAAAGAAAAAACTAATATATAAAACAACATTGATAAATTGCAAACAAAAATAATATGTCAAGTAAAAGAAGACAGATACAAAAATGTATGTATTCAGTGGGGCAGGAGGATTCACTGATAAGGGGCACAAGGAACTTTCTGTGATGACGGACATGTTGCATGTTTTATAATACTTCCATCAAAACTGGTATAATAGAATATTTAAGATCAGAATGTGAATATATATTATGCCCAATTTTTTTAAAATATGTAAAGAATATATAGGAAAAAACACTACTAATATAGAAGATTTAGAGATGCCAAGAAGAGTCATCTCTTAGTAGAGTTGCTTAGTTTGAGGACACAAATCAAGAAGTTATTTATGTGGTTCTCTCCACTCTTAAGATTTTATTTGGAATATCACAAGATGATTTCTGCCTGTACTGAATAATGTGCAGTCCTCTTTGTTAATAAGCAGAACATGTGTCTATACATTTCCTGGGCTCTTGATTCATATTCTCCTCAGTGTCTCATAACCCATCCCAGCACTTACAATATCGTACTGTAAAAAGTTGTTTATAAACCTATCTTTCCTCATAAACACGATGCCTGCAACACAGTGGGTAATTTGTAAATACTTGTCAAATGAATGCAAGAATTCTCATACAGTATAGTTTGTCACTAAGGCTCAAGTCATCATTTTCTTTTCAATTATTGTCTTTGAGGGACACTTCTTACCCTTGTCCTCGAAGAACAGCCGTGTACAGGTGAATACATTGATTGTCCTGAACCAACCAATATAGGAGCCCATCACTGAGGTCTAAAGTTAGAGCAATTACCTACATAGAAAATAAAGTAAGAAATTGAACCACACACATTTGAAGTATAATTTTGTGATCACACTTCAATTTTAGATTTCTCTTTAACATCTTTGTAATAAGAAATTCAATGATTTCCACTTTTGTTGAATATAAGATTTATATGATTATTCTTCTTGCTATTGTATTTGAATGTAATGGTGGTTTTCTAAAATTCTCAAAAAAGCAGGAAGTATCTGTTATTCGCCTTTATATATTTAAGCTCCAGTTGTTATCAAAGTATGATTCTCAGACCAGCAGCAGTTACATCATCTGGAAACTGGTACGAAAACAAATTCTTAACCATGCTCCAGACCTCCTGAATTTGAAACTTTGATCCTGCGTCAAGCCTTGTCTAAAACTAGCCATAACTTTGGACTTTTTAGCCACACGAGGCAATGACTTTTGTTATTGCTTAAACCAGCTGTTCTCAAACAGTGCTGCACATTAGAATCATCCGTGGAATATTTTAAAAAACTATTCCCAGGCTGCATCCTATTAAATTATGATTCCTGGGGATGAAATCCAGTTTCCATTAAGCTTTAAAACTCCTCAGGTAATTCCAATGTGCAACCAAGGGTGACAACCAAAGGTTTAAACCATTTTAAATTGTATTTTTCTATTAATTACAACCAAAAACATCCTGATGTACTTGGCAAGGATAATACACTAAGGGTGTTTATGTGTTATAATTAGATGATCATGTGTATGTGAAGTGCCACTTCTAGAAGACATCTGAAAACCACTTCTTACTACTCTAGTCTTCTTGTTGTAATCCGTATCTTAATCTTAAGTCAGTTGCCTAGATGAGACCAGAGGAAAGATTACTTCCGCTGTGAAATAGAGTATAGACAATAAAAGTTACTATCAAAATGGCCTCCTTTTCCATTGCTATTGTTGTTCTTTGGCTTCACAGATATTTTTTAAATAAACTGAGATTACCAGGAGCCTGACCTCAGGGTAGTGAAGGTCCCTATAAAAGACTCAGAGACTGAGAGGTATCAGAAGGAATTAAAACTGATGACTGCATGTTTAGAAAGTTAACAACAGCCTTTAAACAAAATTAATGAATCAGTGAAAAAGAAATACAATAAGGAATTCAATAACTAAAAATACTCTTGTTAGGTTACCCTGCTACAAAGAAAGTCATAAGGCACTTGACTGCAACAACCCTTCAGTTGTCATATAAATCACAGCATTCTATCTTCAAGTGAATTAAGCCAACCCAAAAGGTGAAAGTCTATTCTGGCAGTTACCAGCCTTTGGGGAGTTGAATCATGTCCTTGCTTCATGCTAAAAGTGATTTATGGATTTATTTTTCTCAGTTAAAGTGAAGTCAAGATAATTTTGTTTAGTTATTTATGACATACAGAGTTTTCTAAATTACAAATTAACTCTCTGTCTCAAAAAAAAAAATCTACAAGTCCGTTTGTTAGGGACTTGCAAAGTATTCAAACCATAAATAAATTCAGGTATTGGGCCATTGCCATTCCTCTGCATCCATCAGCAGCCCCATATTTAAACAGAGTCAGATGTGTTCCATAAATCTTTGGTTAGCCATCATTAGGTCTAGTGACATCCATACCTTGAAAACAAACTCTTTGATCTAAAACTAAAACCTTTATGCTGAAATTTAACCCCATGGTAAAATGTACTCTACACTAAAAGTTGAACTCATCAGATGTAGTAAGAAGTATCTTTTTCACTTTAGATGAATCTCTTACTTCATTCTCCTTTTTCATCACACAGATAATTGTTTTTCTATTAATAATTGGCTGACTCTATTTCCTTATATTTGCTGGAAGAAAGTATCTTGTGTCCAAGTGATAAATCTGAGTGACACAAAGGAAGGGCAGAGAGATGGAGAGCTTTGCTGGGTGCAAAAGGTGTTGCTTCAAAATGTCCTCTAGCATTCATGGAGCAGATGGTCAGACATCAAACCATGGAAGCAGAACACAGATTTATAAAGCAGCCACAATGTGCACCAGCCTGGAGGGAGGGGTTTGGAGTGGGAATTTAAAGATGCATTTTCCCAATATGTTAAGAAATTTAATGATTCACTCATTTATGGAAACATCCCCACGGTCACTTCAGACCTGGGAGAAGAGACAAGATACTCTTAAAATATTATCTTAAACAGGATTTTGCAAAAACAAAAGTGCTTTTCCTTAGCAATTACATAAAACATGAATGTGTGTGTGTGTGTGTATTTTTGAATTTAGACTCAAGTGTCTCAAAAATAGAACTAAGGGACCTTTCAATTAGTTGACTAGATTGATCAGTCTTCAGATATGATGTGTAAATTTCTGTCTCTTTAAAATATCTGGCTAAAATCTATATATACAAATTAGATATCTTTAAATATTCTAGGAATTGTAACTTATCTATCCTAAGGAATTGGGGATCATTTGACTCAATAGTCTGCTCATATATATGTATATTTTTAATGATCTGCTATATCTTCTTATAAGTCTCTACAAAAAAAGAGTCAAAAATAAGAAAAATTTAAGGGATTATATTAAATAAAAATGGTACAAATGTTTTAGTTCTTAATTTTTTTTGTAATTTCCAAATTTTCTATAGTGGACATATATTACTTTCTTGATAAAAAAAAATAAGATTCAGAAATTTAAATAGATACCTAGGGGTTAGAAAAATAGATTTTTTAAAAAGTAAGTTTTACTTCTAGAAGTTTAGGATATAAAAGTAACATCTATTTTTAAATATTCCTTTATCTGGTGTATTTTTCAAGTTGCGTTACAATATTAAGAGCTTCACATTGGGCATTTACCACGTGCCTGAGACAATCCCACTACAACACATGGATTATCTTATTTAATCTTTAAAATAATCCTAAGAGGTAAAATAATAATAGTTCTATTTTTCATATTAGGAAACATATATAGAGAAGTCAAATAATTTGCCTTAGAGTCACACTGTTACTACTCAAAACTGATTAAAAACAACAAAATACCTAATCACCACTAAGAAGCTCTAAAACACTCAAAGTCATTAAGATGATAAAAACACCAAAAAGTTAAGAAGATATTGAACATGGGTCCATTCAAGACAAAAAAAAAAACTACAAAACTCTCCATACTATATTTGAATTTGTATAATCAATTATGACATCAAATAACACAAGAAAATTTTTGTTTACACCAAAATCTTACTATGGCAGTATTTCCTTTAGGGTTGTACCTCGGCTACTCACAATAAGCAGAGACAGTGTTATAACTACAGAACACTACCATTAATATTAAATAATCAGATCTTATTTTTAGCTTGTCACCTTTTTCCCAGAAAACCAAGGCTGTGCCTGTAATATAAGGGAACTTTCTCCATTTAGTCTGGTGCTTTCAACAGAGTATAGTGTGGTCCAATAGAGATAGCCACCAACTGAATCCACCACCATGTCATTCACCAGTAGTTTCACATGAGTCACAATGTCTGTGTGACCAGTCAACATTGACTGTCTTTGTATCTAGAAAACATAATGGTAGGTCAGTTAATGATTTTTAAGTGACTTCAATATTTTTGAATAACTTATTGTAATCATTGTCAAATTGTCCCATTCATCCATCCCTTTATTTATTCAACCACAAATATTTATCAACACTGCATGCTGGGTTATGTGCTAAGCCTTGGAAATATAATAACAAACACACACAAATCCTGCCTTTGTGGATCTTATTTCCTTTCATGTATCTAAAGGGAAGGGAAATAAATTTATTTTGAATTAAAATATTCTGTATTCCCAGTTATACATCCAATCAAAACACTTAGGTATAAGAACATATTTGATTGGATTCCTGAAAAAGATGTATACATCCTGATAAATGACCTCTTTCCTTACTCCTCTCTACCTGATATTAATTACTACTATTCATGAGTAACTATTATGTGACAGGCACTGTAGATTTATTTTTACCTTTAAGATATTCGCTCCTGTAATCTTCACATTAAGTATATGAGAAATTTTTTTCATATATATTTTTTCCTCACAAGTAAACTGAGTTAAACAAAGTTGAGCAATCATTTGCCCTGGAGTTAAGCCATTTCAAAAGAGATAGAGCAAATACTTGAAAACAGTTTTTATATCTACTCTTTCACTCCTTCAAACCTATTTTTAAACTCAATTGTTTTAGAAAGCAATCTCTGAATAACCCCTCTCAACTCTATTCAGCTTGCCTATGTCTGGCACCTGTGAATTTCCCTCTAAATACATACTTTTTATGTTTATTATTATTATACATATAATAATATATATTATGTGACCATTGCCACTTGGCCTAGCTCTTTGAGGAGATGAAATATATCTCATTTTATATATTATATATTTCATCTCCTCAAAAGAGCTAGGCCAAGTGGCAACGGTCACACACAATGCCAAACATAGTAAAAACCCCTGAATTTTACTCAATAAAAGGATGAATTTTATGGTATGTGAATGATAGCTCTTCAAGCCGTTTTTCTTTTTTAAGAGCAGGGACATTTCTACTATTGAATTTATATTTCCTACTGTGCCTTCTCCCAAGACTATCAACTCAATGGTAATATATAAATAATTGTTGAACAAATTAATGAATGGACAATAAGAACCCTCCTAATTAGAAAACAATTTCAGTCCCATATTTTTGATCTGTCAGGCCAGTGTTCTCCTCATTGACCATCATCCTTTTTCTGCAGTGTGTCTCACTGCAAACATGTGCTGAATGTTTTCATTTTATTGCAGGTCTGTTCTCCATCCCTCTCCACCCTCATCTGTGTTCCTTGGGGCTGACTGTGTAATCTGCTATATCTTATTCTCTGGATTCTAGTGAGGTTTGGCCAATGGAAACAGCAGATCAGCAGGCAAGAGGAAAGACAGTTGGACACTAATTCCCCAGCTCACTCCTTCCCAGACTACACAGCTTGATAGTGGCTGGTTTTCTACGTCTAAAGTCACAGTTCATGTCAGCAACTTTCCTACAGCTATAGACCTCTCCAAGTTCTTCCCCTTCTTCACACCTGGGGTTTTATCTTCCCACAATTAGCCCAGGGGATGATTTGCTAATCCTTATTCACTTTACCTATCCTCATCTACACTTTTAAGAATAGTTTTTTCACTTAGTTTCCTTTAATCAGTCTTTGGAGTCTGCTATCTTACTGCCAAGATACTGATCCTCAAGTGAGCATTTTATTGTATATATTTTAAGATATCAATAAAAATATATAACTAGTACACCAATATCTATTCTTATATCTACTCTTCCACTTTCTTCAAAATTATTTTTAAACTAAACTGTTTTAGAAAGCATTCTACGAATAACCCCTCTCAACTCCCTTCAGCTTGCCTGAATGAACTTGGCACATAAATGCACTTTAAGATTGAGCAGGTATAGAGACAAATATCACATAAATGGTAGCATAGGTGGTACCTGAGAAGGAAAAAGAGTTTAAAAAAACATGCTAGTCACTAAAGTGGGTAGGCATTTATTAGAGCACCCAGGATGCCATGCTTTAACGTACCACATATGTCTTTCCAGCCCAGTAGAGAAAGTGACCCAGCCACTCAAAAGCTAAAGCACTTGCTCCTGTAATGTTGGGTATGTGATAATTCTCAGAGATAACCGTCCCACTCAGCAGCCGCACATAAACATCACCTTTCACATCACTGTAGTAGAGGCTGTTGTTATACCAATCCATGTCTCCAAACAAAGACAAAAAATCATTAGCAGTTATTTCTCATCTATGCCAAAAAAAAAAATCAGGTGAGTCAACAAATCACACAGACACTGCAGTATAATTTTAAAGCACTAGAATTTCAGAGATCTGTCAAGAATATTAATGTAAACTAAGAATCTCAACCCCTAGAACTGGGCTAATATACATTGAGCATCCCCTTTATGCCAAATATTGTCCCAGGATCTATACATGTCCTAAAACAAAGCTATGAAGTAGGAATGACTCCTATGTTTAAGATGGCAACTATGAGATAGGGCAAGATTAACTCTTCTGTCTGAATACTCACGGCTAAAAAGAAAGGAAGCCCAGATTCCAGCCAACTCCAAAGTATCATCCTTTCCATTAGCAACACTCTACCTCCTAAATCCAGATCCCATGTCAATAAGAAACATTGTTGTGCTTTTAATAGCCAAGCCATTTGATAAAATAATTAGGTAATTATAAAAGACATCATCTTCAGGCAAGATCAATGTTATATCACCTTAGGATGATGAGTTACTTTTCTCCTAGTCAAACTCCCCATTCTTTACTTAATAATCATCTTTGTCCACAAATTCTTTCTTAAACCTTATTGAGAACTCTACCCAGCAGTTCCTTGCTGCAGTCCTACAGGAAGCACATAGCATATTAATTCAAGAATAGCTGTTGGAGTGGAAATAGGCTGTTCCTATGAGGTGACATTTATTGAATAAAATACAAGAGCAATATATCAAAGACTTCCTGAACTGGTTATACATCGATAAATAACCTCACATTTTGTGAACACAATATCCCTGGCAGTATCACCCAGTCAATATTTTTTTCTTTTCACTATTGACCTAGTAGCAAAACCCACAATTCTTTTCACTCATTGAATCACTTAGGAAGCCATATGAGGAGAAACTTGTCATCTACATAAACAAGGGTATTTACCTGACACATTTCCTATGTCAGAGGATAAGAACTCTCCTGGGCCAAAATTATTTAAAGGTTTACTCCAAAGCCTATCTTCTTTCACAGCCATGATGAATGGTGGTTCAGTAGCTATTTGATGAAATAAAAAGAAAAGAAAGAAATATCACAGAAACCATGTTTTCTAAGGTAAATGTCTTATAATATTTCTTTTATAAAGTAAAAGAATTATCAGGATTTTTAAAAATACTATGGAGGAACATCAGTAATTCTATATTCTTTCTAGAATTATTTGTCTATCATATTAAACATACCTTCTGATTTTTACATAAAGATTTGAAATTGAATGTGAATAAATTTGTGTAGCAATGTTGCCTCTATGATAGTGTCATGGTCATGACAGAGTTTTGGTCTGTGGCTACTATCTAAATGGTTCCATTCCAAGTGCCCAGAAGTAATTGTGATAACAACAGCAGTATAAGTGATACAGTTAGCCTTCCATTTCTTTCAGCTAAGAGGATAGAATTTGACATAATTGACAGCCCCTAAACTTCTCCCTTAAAGACCTTCAGAGTTCAGAGATGCTATGGCTTAGTAAGCCATGAGAAAGAGGAAACTCATGAAAAAAGAAAATTATCCTGTTTCCTCAAATATATCTTGTAAAGTTTAAAACAGAAAGCTAGAAGCACAAATTTCACACTGTTTTGCTTTCTTTCCTGATCTCAGGTATGTATGTGAGTGTGTGTGAATCCTCAAGAGTTGACACATCTTCATTCTAATTTCTTTCAACATATTAAGGGCACAGAATTTTAAAGGACTCTTGGGCTAAGACTCTTTTTGTCAGAATCGATTCCTGTATCCAAAACAGACTCTCACCTGGCACCAAGGTAGTACCCACCGAGGGTTCTGACCAGGGGCCTGGTCCCTTGGGAGAACTTGCTCTCACAAAAACCTTGTATTTTGTAGCACTCTGCAGCCTGGGCACATTGAGCATGGTCCCACTTATGTCTGAGAAAATGTGAGTGATCTCATGAAGGTCTTGTGATGACACTTTCACCTCATAGGTCCAGTTCTGCCATGCAGAAGGGCCTAATAAAAAGAATTCAACAATGTCATTGACCAGGATGACAACAATAAGGGCAAACCACGGATTGTCAATAAATTCCTCTACAGCTTCATCTGGAATGAGGAATAATTGGGCAGTAATGCCCATTACTCATCTAACCATGAACATCAATATGACAAAAATACTGGGACAGTGCTCATTCCTTCCATGCCACTTACTTTGCTCTACAGATGGGGCCATCATTCCCACCAGTAAAACTGTCCTTCAGTCAGAGCTATATTGTTGGCCTCGTAGGATTGCAGAAGCATTCTCTATAACACTACCGGATGTAATCAGGCTGTTAATAAAAATGTCTATTGATGAGTCTCCAATATAATTTCTATGTTTGCATAGTACCTCCAAGAAGCTCAATCAATATGGGGGGAAATTGCCCATTGATTCTCAACCATTTCGGAGATATGCAGCACACAGTAATAATTAACTTTGTATCAAAGTAAAAACATAGCCAATGTTTGCTAAATTTTACTACTTAGTGGACCAGGGGTTGGCAAACTAAATAGTCCACAGGTCAAATCAAACCCATTACCCATTTCTGTAAATAAAATTGTACTAAAACACAGCCTCAGTTATTCCTTTACATAATATCTATGACTGTTTTCACACCACAGGGATAGCTGAGTAACTGTGACAGAGACCATCTGACCCACAAAGCTCAGATTACTTACCATCTGGCTCTTCCTTTAGTGAAAAGTTTGCTGAACTCTGTGCTAGATACAGTTCTAAGTGTTCTCCTTCTGTCTCTTAATTTAATCTGTCTGGCAGTCCCATTAAAAGATATCATTAAAAGTCTCATTTTCTAGTTATAGAAACCAAGTCACAAAGTGGTTAAGTAATTGCCTAGAGTCAAGATCAGCATTTGAATCAGACTGGCTCAAGAGCTTTCCTGTTTACCCACATGCTACAAGTTCAAAGAGTTTCAGAGACTTGCTCAAATTTATGCAAGATCTCAACCCCAGTCTTCTATCCTCTTGGCTAGTAAATTCCCTCTGACCAGGGTGTCAGAGTCTACCTCCTAGTAGATGGTCAATAAATGGCCAAATTGTTCTGTTAGGATCCACCTGGGAATTATAGAGATCATCCTATTGGAAAAGTAATAAATGCAGAACAATTGTACAATCACCTTTTCTTAGCTAAGTAGCAGTGACTAACAGTATGTGGGCTCTCAAAATTGAATCCCAATGCCAAGCAATTCAAGCCTCCTCTCCTTCCAATAAGGCCAGTAGCCACCCAGTGGACAGTGTACTCACTGGCTCCTATGGCGAGGGCAGGAGGCTTCCATTGAACAAGGGCTTGGTGAGAGCCAAATAGCACAGAGATCTCCTGCGGACGGCCTGGTAGAGGGTGTGGCTGCGTGGATGAGCCAAAGATAACCAAGTTACCAAACCCAAATTCTTCTATGTGACTTAGGTCACATCCCACAATGAACTCATTAAAAGAGAGAGTGTCCTGTTGGAAAATGGCCTTGCCATCGGTGACAAGGAAGTCATTGTTTTCACAAGCAAAGCTCTTCACATCATCAAAGGGGACCTGAGGTAGGACAAGATGGGAAGCCGAGCCATCCAGAAATGTTGACATGAAGACTTGGGCAGTGTCATTGAAGTAAATGATTCTCTTGGACTGTGGCTTGACAGCAAAGTCTTTCAAGGCACTACTCGCCACGATGTGCACAGCTTTAGCATCCCTGCCAGGTGGCTCAGGGAGGTCAACTCTGTAAAGGCCATCTCTCAGGAGATAAAAGACATACCTGACACGGGAACAAAGAGGCCTGGTGTGATTCAGTGCAAGGTGACAAGCAACCTCCTCAGCTAATTGCTTTAACCTTTTGTACAATCAGAATCATGTATCTCTGGAATCACTAAGTACAGAGCCCCAGAGGTACAAAAGGGTAAAGGTCATTTCTAAAGATATGCTCTATTCATTTAAGTTTGCAAAATTTCAGCATTACTTGTAATACTTCAACTTTTAATTATTTTAAGTGTTTTTATAAGGTATCATGAAATTGAAGAACAGGAAAGATCCTTCAAAGGAGAGCATGTTATATAAAAATTACATGGATAAATATGTTATTTACTATAAAACATTTTCTTCCAAAATACACAAATTTTTTGTGTGAATTAAGGGTAATTATCAGTTAATTTTTTATATATTGTAAATGATAAATGGAAGAAAGCAAAACTTTAAAGAAAACACACAATTTGGAGACAAACGTCATGGTAGCAGGCAGGTCATCTTTCAATAATGAAAAAGAAAACACACCACCAAAATATTTCACTGATCATCAAATGTGTAAGTGAAATTTTAACTAAAATGTAAAATCACTGATTGGCACTAAATTGGCACTAAAATGTAAAATCACTAAATAATTTATTTAGAATTTGTGACCATGAAGACAGAGGCTAACAAAAGTGCACTTGTGCTTGGTAAATTCTTCTTATCACAGCCCCGTGCACTAGCAGCATTCCAACCTCCATCACAACTGTCAAGACCATTTTCCTTGTCATTGCTCAGTTTGCTCTTATTCCCCTGTTCCTATTCTTTATTGATATGATAGAGTAACACCCTGAGATATAAACTGCCTTTTGAGATCATTCTTTTTCTCAAAGGAAGGTTCATAGCAGGCCAAATGCATGGCTCTTAACTTTCTGCTTTTTTTCCCAAAAAAATTTTAGAGGAATTCCAGAGTAGGTAAGAGGAAAGATTTGTGGAATAAAGACAAAACAATTCCACTGGGAACAGTGGTGCACACCTATAATCCCAGCTCCTAGCGGCTCCGGAGGCTGAGGCTAGAGGATCACAAATTCAAAGCCAGCCTCTGCAACAGTGAGACACTAAGCAACTCAGTGAGACCCTGAATAAATAAAATACAAAATAGGGCTGGGAATGTGGCTCAGTGGTTGAGTGTCCTGAGTTCAATCCCTGAATACCTGCCCCCCCAAAATGAACAATTCCTGTATTGAAGCAGGAAAAAGTGTGGATCTTGAACTCTGATCACAACTTCAGAAGAAAAAGAGAAGGAAGGAAGGAGAAGAGCTGGGGAGTGGGAGAAGGAGGACAGAGGTAGGAGGAGAAAAAGCAGAAGCAGGAGGCAAAGGGAACCAGGGAGGGGAGATGGGCAAAGGTTTATAACAAGTGCACACTCAACTAGGGAATAATTCAATGGTACAGAAATAACAGCATAAAAATATATTGTTAATACCAGGAGAGAAAACTGCTTCATACATCAGGTGTCCTATAGAAGATTCAATACAAATTATGGCTAAAAGTTACATGCTGATTTTTACAGAAATTCTCTCATATGGTATAGAGAGATGAGAAGACAAGGCCCCAAATTGGTTACATCACAAAATAGCTGTGTGACCTTGGACAATTACTAAATCAACCTGTACTTCACTTCCTTTATTTCATAAAAGTACCTACCTCATAGGGTTGAACAAGGATAAACAGAATTATTGGAACTAATATACTTAGAAACACAAGTATAAACAAATTTGTATAAATAGTAGTTATCATGATCATTTATAGTCACATTTCAAAATCTAAGCATAAATCAATTCTATCCTAATTGGAAAAAAGAGCTACCAATATACATTGCATTTAAGAATTGACTTGGTGAAGTTCATTATCCTCAGAATGAAACATTTTGTGTAACTGCCAACAATGTTAGATGTCATAGGTTTTTAAACTTTTACAAATGATAAAAATAAGATCTAGAGAGTTCAAAGAACTTGCCCTATATCACAGTGTTTTTTAAAATACTCTTTAAAATTCAGTGATTCATTCAAACCTAAAATCAAAAATAAATCTTTAATAAATTTTAAGAGAATATGAATAGAAAAGTTTGATGTTAAAGCAATAATAATCAATCTTTTTTATTGTGGTGCTGGGGATTGAACCCAGGGCCTTGTGCATGCAAGGCAAGCACTCTACCAACTGAGCCATATTCCCAGCCCAAACAATCTTTTTCAAAAAATTTTAGTTTGTGTAAAATATATGTTATGGGCTATATTTTTTCATTCAAAATGAAAACAATTTTATTCCCACAGAAAAAAATAATGTTTAATCATATCCACATTTACCTGGCTTATTAGTTACTAATCTGGTTAACTGGATATACTTAAGAAAAAAAAACCCAAAATAAAAATCTGTGTTTTCATTTTTCACACTTGTGTTCATTTGGAGTTCACAAAATACATTCATAGTGAATACAATGAGATACTGAGTCCCACCATAGACAAATTGTTATGGTTTGGATGTGAGATATTCCCCAAAAGCTCACATGTGAGACAATGCAAGAAAGTTTAGAGGATGGGGTTATAAGAGTCTTAACCCAATCAGTGAATTAATCCCCTAATAGGGATTAACTGAGTGGTACTTGGCTGGAGAGATAGGAATTGGGGTGTGGTTTGGGGGTATCTGTAACTGCCAAGTGAAGACCTCTCTGCTTCCTGATCATCATGTGAGCTGATTCCCTCTGTTACTCTTCTCTGCCATGATGTTCAATTTCACCTTGAGCCCCAAGGAATGGAGCCTACTATCTATGGATTGAGACCTCTGAAACTGTGAGGCCCCAAATAAAACTTTCCTCCTCTAAAATTGTTCTGGTCAGATCTTTTAGTCACAGCAGAAAAAAAAATGACTAAAACAGAAATCAAGAACTATAACCCAGGACTCTGAGCCCCAGACCAAAGGTCTTTACATATACCCATATTTCAGAAGTAGAAGAGGAGTCAATAAAGTTTGAAAGAAATGTTCTCCTGGATCTATAAATGAAAAATTTACCTGGAAATGTAATCAAACTTATCTAAAATAAGATGTGTAGACTGGCTCACCCAGTGCCACAGAGCAGTATTCCATTACCAAGTAAGAACCATGAAGATTTTTGCCAATGGGTAAGAAATCATATTTATAAGACTAAACCTTACCCATTGTAGGAGTCAGCCACAATTTTTTGAGGTGCAATAATAGATGGTGGAGTAATTTCCTCAAAGTTTGAGCAGTTTTCTAAATCACAGACACATACCTATAGAACCAAAAATATATCAGTAGGATTAATGTCTGTCTGTGCTCAATCTGGCCAACAAGTATTTTCTGAGTCCCTGTTCTATGCTTGGAATTGTGCTACTCACTAAACACTTTACAAAATAAAAGAAGCCCTTAAAATCCAGTTCTATATCCTATATCCTAATGAGTTCATATTCTATTGGTATCAGTGAAATACAAGTACCTATTTTCCAGGCTTGTGAGACACCAAACTATTTTTAAGGTGTAAACCATATCCAAGCTTATGTGCTTCCAGGCATAGTGATATTCTTGGCTTGTTGTGACAAGCCTGTACCTTCCAAAGAAATATAACTTGAAACACATCAAGATTATATCTTCTCTAATGCTTTAGTACTACTTATTTTCAGAGGCCTACTACAGTTGCCCTGGGTTATAATATAATTAAAAATGCCTCCAACTGACTTTGATCCTGATGGATAGTTTTATCTAATGATAATACAAGTACTGCCACTATCTTATCATGGATAAATTATCATTAGTATTAACTCACAACTCTGGAAAATCATAAATTAAAATGTTCTATTAGTATGGCAAGACTAGTACTAGGTAAAGGCTAGATACTCTTGCAGACCAGATTTAGGATTGATTGCTACTTTAATGTCCTAAGTAAGTACTAAGTGAGTATGTATTGGATGAGGGAATTGTGTTTACTTTTAAATATACCAAGATATGTGTATCAGTATATATCTACGTTATTCACTTTAAATTCTGAGACTAACCAGTCCATCCATGATGAAATATATTCTCTGGTAGAGCCAGTCTATAGAGATGGAAGAAATTAATCCTGAACCTCTATAAAAAATTCTCAGGTCAGACACATCAGACATGTTGGCAGCTTCCTTCACCCAAATGAGAGCTCCTTCAGAGAAATAAACAACTTGCTGGTGGACATTAACTGATATTCCTAAAAGAGCCACACAAATACATGCACATTATTACATAACAACCAGGACAAAAAAAGAGTTTACATGATATTTATTTCTTTAATGTTTAATAAAGTAATCAGATTCTATTTTAGAAGAAAATATTATTGTAAATTATTCTAATGTGTATAGAATAGATTATAAGAATTTAGAAGAGTATATACTAAAAATATAAAAAATGGGGGGTTTTTGTTTTATTTTTTTTTTTGTATTTTGTTTTTTATTATGTTTGTTTGTGGTGTTGTTTTTGTTTTGGGTACTGGAGAAAGAAGCCCGGGCTCCTTCATGCTAAGCACATGTTCTATCACTGAGTGCTCCTCCAGACCCAAAAATAAATTTTTAATATTCCTCCATTCTAGAAGCATTTCCTCTAGAAATTTCAAGTCTTTCTTTTCACCTTAAGGAAACATTTCTTTCTATGATACTGACCTGTAATATTATGGTGTATAGCATCTGACCAAAGGCAATGTGCTTCATCTACTAAGTGCTTTAAAGATCTCTTTCTTAGAGAAGTTTTTCTGGATAAAAAGAGCCACTGTTCTTCTTCTTGAACTGAAAAGAAATATGATTTTTAGGTAAACAGACCAAACAAATGCACACTAACACACACCAAAATAACTATATATATATATATATATATATATATATATATATATATATCTCAACACTACCATTCAAAGCAAAGGGAAATCATGCTTAAAAGAGCCCAAATATTCTCTGAAGGCACTGGGGCATTTCATCTATGGTATAATCCACATTTTTCCATGGTTAGAGGTAAGAAGCACTGTGGCAGCCAAGCGGGTCTTGTGTGTGTGTGCCCTTAAGTACCCCCAAAATTATATCACATGAGGTATTACCATTCCCAACATCCTTGCCCCAATAGGAGCTCCACTCACTGTCCTCAGACAGGAGCATTGGTTGGCAGAAGTAATCCATTCACAGCCAAAACAGGTTGGTGCATAATACACACACACACACACACATAGACAGACATTGGTTGTATCTATGTTGTCTTCAATATCCCTCCCTTTGAGGCAGAAGAGACCAACGCAAGGTCCATGGCTGATGAACACTTTTAGGCCAATTAATGATGTATTGCAATAATCACATAACAACCTTAACACAGATCTATATTTAACATGCCCTTTAGATATACTTCTTGCATAACAAAAATACCTCTCCTTTCCTAGAGTCTAGGAACAGCCAAAAAAAAAACTAAATGCTGGTGATAGATGACATTCAATACCCTCTGGCATAGGCATGTGCAGATGAGGGTAAGGGGCGGTCAAGTCAACAAATGGAGTTCTGGTGAAAACAGCAGACTCCTAGAATTAGAAGTCCTAGACTGTTGTTCCAAACCCTTTTACTAATACTGGCCCCAAATGTCTAATGCTTCTTAGAAAGCATTTTCATTTATTATTTTGCTCATATAGGCATAATACAGTAAAAATTTAACCACTCAGGGCCATGGTTAAAATATTAAAGCCAAAAAGCTATCCTTTTATTTTGTTGCTACAAAACAATAAAAAAGATGATTTGGTAGATTAAATATTCTAAATGGCAAAATATAAATTATTGAACTCCAGATATACTTAAAAACTTATGGAGACTGCAGAAATAAGATGTCTGATAGGACTCCAATAACAGCACATAATGTAGCGAGTAAGGAAAGAAGGCTATGTGCATCCCTTAGGTGTGTAAAAATAACTCACAATCCTTGTGATTTCAATTGAAACTAAGCATTTGAGACTTTTTTTATTCTTAAAATTTAAAATTCTGTTTTTTAAGTTCTTAACTTCTAACATGAAAACTTCCAATTTAACCACTTAATTCTATTTGTCAAGTACTTAACCACTTAAAATCAAAAGTTTAAAGTACCCAAAATTGACATACATTTGGGCAGAAGAGGAGGGATCTTGAAGTCTACCAGATGACTCAATACCACTGAATTCTGAACCTACCTTTGTCACCTTTCACTTCTATGTAACAAAAGCGCGACCCTGGGCCATACCTGCTAGAGATGATGTGGTAATACTAGATTCTGCTTCTGGCCCCTCACCAACTTCATTTACTGCTGCAATAGAAAACCTATTCCAAAAACAATTTGGAGAGATGTGTTTCACATGGCATGGTGTGAACATGAGATAAAAATAGAAGAAGCAATAACATTTCTATTTAAAGGACTGTATGGCAATGCATATATCTAGTTACTTAGTGTCACTGCTCAGCACTAAAATGACCATCAATCACATCCTTGTTTGCATTTCCCACAGAAGAGTTCAGGGTCATTGAGGTCAAAGCTGAACTCTACTATCTGCATAACCCCCATTCTTCCTCTAATTTAAAGATCCCTTAGTAAATGCCACAGAAGCTAACAATGATAAAATAATCCCCAATGGTAAATAAAAATACCATTACCAGAATTTTTCCTCCTTACTTTGTTCATGTTGGATCTAATGAAGAAATGTCATTTGTGGTATTTATGATGTTTTTATTAGCTTAAACTTATATGGATCCTCTAAATAAAATAGAAGCACTTGAAAATATTTTTGCTGAGGATTATGTGATCTTATAAGCATAGAAGTTCCAAGACTGGAACCCAACAGCATGGAGTTAGTAATACTTCTCAAAATATATTTAAACTATGTTAGTTATTTTTTAAAAAATAATTATGCTTGCAGCCATGTTGCCTACATTTTCCCTTGCATCCACTGAAATCTTACCTGTAGGTGGTATTTGGTAGAGTAGAGTAAAACTGGAAACTGGTTCTCTGTGTTCCTGAATCTAGTTTTTGGTTTTTGCTGATCAACCTTAAGTTATAACCCAAAATAGGTCCACCTGGGAATTGGGGTGGAGCCCAACTGACTTCCACAGTATCCGGACTTGAACTTTCAATATTCTTAATGAATGGAGCAGTTTCAGGAACTAGAAGAAATAATGACATAATGAAAAATGGAAATGTACAGGACTTATGATCTTAAAATAGTACAGGAAAAAAATCTCAGTTTTTAAAAAGTTAACAGAATTTTTTTTATGGTACAGGAGATAGAACCCAGGAGCTCTCTACCAATGTGGTACAAGCCCTTTTTACTCTTTCTTCTAAAATAGTGTCTCACTGAATCACCCCAGCTGGCCTTGAACTTGTAATTCTCCCACTTCAGCCTCCTGAGTCACTGGAATTACAGCATACACCAGAAGGCCCAGCCAGAAATAAAATATTTTGACAAATACTCAAAATATGTGACAGAATATGGTAAGAATCCATGACCTGCAACTCTGGATCACTAAATCATACCAATTAAATATTAATGTTTACCAAAAGACTCCTTCAAATGTTATTTTCTTCACTTCTAATGTATGACATAAAATTAAATTTTAAAGTATACAAATAGAATAAATATTCTAGCAAAAGGGTTGTCAAAACTCTCTAGAGACATAAATGTATTGAATCCAGGATGAAACCAAGTTAAGAAGGAGAATCTGAACAAACTAGAGTCAATGATTAACATGAATTGAAAAAAAAAAGGTCCTGGGATCTTTCACTCCTGTTGCTGTAGTCACACTGGTTTCAGCTGAAGATGTGGATTCAGATAGGCCAGAATTGGACCAGTCTACTTCACTCTTGTGGCCATCAGCTCTGGTGATCCAGACAATACCTTCCTTATCCCCTCAAAGTCCCTGAGAAACCAGGTGACTTGGCCACAACAGTGCCCCCACCCTTGCCAAGAATAAAAGCACTAATTAGATGATTAAACATTCATTCACAAATATCTTCATAACACTCTGTGGCTCTATGTATTCATTCACATTTGTGAACAGAAAAGAAGGAATCATCTCTCACTGAATTAGAATCAAACTGTCAAAAAGAAACCTAACCCATTAGGGTCATTATGCCCAGATACGATCTGTTCCACTTCAGGCAAGTTATATGCCACCAACATGGCATGATGTGTAATAGTTCAAATGCCTCCACAACAAATCCCCCAAGAAAGGGTGGCATTCCTTATCTAACCACCATCTTCCTAATTAAGGAATTGTCTCCTAAAAGGCCCCAGTTAAAGGCAAACACAATCTAAAAATCACACAATTCTCATAGCTGTAAGAGAATAGGACTAGAAGACAATGAACACAGAACAGATAAGTTTCTAAGTTTTGATGTGGCTAGAAAAGTGAGGGAGAATCTTAAACATGAGATGCTCTGCATGGAAAAGATCCACACCAGGTGTGGAAGACTTGGAGGGAACATGGGTTATCGTTTCCAAAAGAAAGGCGGAGAAATGGAAAGCGAAATTGGTCTTCTTCATTACTTTAGCTTGACCAGCCATGAGTCCTGAACCATGGTAGCTCTCCAACTCTAGAAAATGTTTCAGCAATTTTGGAGTACATGAGGCATTGCTTGGAGCAGGGAAGAATCCATGTATTACATTCTGATCTTGAACTTTACAAACATGGCCCTAGACCAATGTCTACTGTTCTAAGCAGAGATGGTCAGAGAATAATCAGCACAGCAGCCACACAAACCCTGAGACTTAATAAGCAAGAACAGGGCTCTCATCAGGGAAGGCAGGGATGCCCCAACCAATTTCATCAGCTGCCCAGCTCTGCTGAAATCCAAGACCAAGCTCCACTTGAGGCTCTCTGGACACAGTCATATCTCTGGGACTGAGAGGCAGGGTGCCCATGCATTCTGAAACAAGTCTTCCTGAGCTGCCTCAGCTAACTCTAATGTATCAAACAAGTCTCCCTGAGTGTGTGCCCTAGCGTCGCTCACTGCAAGGCTTCAAGGCTGGAATCCCTTCCCTGGTAGAGAAGTCAGATATTCAAAAAAAGAAATCAAAAAATACACCCATATACATACTGTTTCTTTAAACTTGTCTTTGATGAAATGTTAAAAATATTAGAATAGCCTCCCAGTTGGTCTCAACTTTCCAATCCCCCTTATCCCCTCAATTCATTCTATGTAGTTGCCAAAATTCTTTTTTTAAAGACCATATAAAGCAATTACTCCTCTGCTTTAATGCCTTCCATAACCCCCAACTGCTTTCTAAATAAAGCATTCCATTCAATGTTTTTGGAATCTGGACTTAGTCTCTTTCCCACTGTTATTCTGTTTCTCTTCCTGTATCCTATGGTTCAAGTAGATGGAATACTCACTTTTCCCCCTGATGCCTTAGAATTCAATCTCTATAACTCTACTCATATAGTCAGCTGGGTCTTACCTAATGTTCAAATCAACAAATGAAAACCTCTTCCAGAAAAATTTATTTGATATTTTGTTCTAGAAATATCTCCCTCCTCTGAATTTCCACAGGAATTTGTCAGTGCTTCTGATTAAAATGATTTTTATTAAGAGTTATTTTATTTCAGGGTCATTTAAGCATGTGCTTGATCTCCCCTGTAAGAGAGTAAGCTACTTAAAGACAGAATCAGATCTATGCACATATAGATACCCCATAAATATATTTTAAATGTGACAACAGCAGCATTTATTTAGAACTAGTTGGGGCTGGGGTTGTGGCTCAGCGGTAGAGTGCTTGCCTTGCATGTGTGAGGCTCTGGGTTCCACCCTCAGCAATACATACATACATACATACATACATACATACATAAATAAATAAATATATTGTGTTATGTACAACTAAAAATAGAAATTAAAAAAAAAGAACTAGTGTTGCTTTAAGAACATAGGAGCACTCCAAAGAGAACAGTTTAGTTAAACTACATTTTGACAGAGCAATATTCTAAACAAAGTTGGGAAAAATAATCAGGCAGAAAAGATAAGCTTGGTTACTTTCCAGAGATAATAAAACTGTGTCATTAATAACCCTCATTTCTGAAACACTTTATCACTTAGTTATGAGACCATGAGCTCCAGAGTTTCTTCCTCCTTACTGGCTTTGGTCTTCCTCTTCTTGACCTTCTTGCCAAATATTGGGATGCTCCAGGGTTAAAACTTGGCCCTTTCCTCTTTTCAACATATATTTATTCTTAGCCTATAACCTCCAGGCCCATGGTTTGAAGTCACATCTATATGTGCATGAAATATACATTGGTATTTTGGGTATCTCTAACCTACCCCCGGAGTTCCACGTTCACACATTTAATTGCATCTTTGGCCACTCCATTTGAATGTCTGATAGGCATCTCAAATTTTACTTGATCAAAACAGGCATTTGATTTTCCCTAGAAAAGCTGTCCCCTCACCAGTCTTCCCTCCATCTAAGCCACATGGTTCTCAGGCTGCTAAGCGTGCATCCGGCCTTCTGGTCCAAGCTAGGAAGCGGTCCCAGAATCATGAAGCAGCAGAGTGGCAACCTTGGTGTGTTGGAACACAGGCAGCAAGCACCACTTGTGCTCATGTGGAACCTGCCAAGCAGGTATGGTGATCCTGAGGCACTGGGAACCAAGGTACACTGACTTGTCATCCTTCGGTGACTAGGCCTGGGCATGGTACCTCTCCTGGAGAAGCCCACTCCTTGCACCTCTATAGCCAGGGCCTGCAAACAGATCATCAGGACCTCAACCTCCCCCTTCCTGAGGGTAGAAAATGGAAGTGGGGCAGACCTGAATGGAAGTTGGGATTCAAGAATTGACCAATAGCATTAATAATTTTCCAAACCCGAATTAGCTTAAGTTGGGACCAAAAGCAGTGACTCAAGTGCTATATAAACCCCTAGACTAGCACACTCAGGGGGAAAAAACCTGCTCTTGAGTTCTCTTCCTGTTTCTATTCTTCAACAAATCCTACTCTTACACTAACTCATCCTGATCTATGGATTTCTTTCTTCGAATTCACAACACAACAGCCCTGAAAGAAGGATTTGATGGTGAGCTCCTGGGGTCTGCTGCAACCCTGGAGAGAATAGCCCACCATTAAGAGCTGCAACACTTCTCAGCCACAGAGGCCTGTGCCTTACTCAGACCCCACCTTCGAGCAGAAGAGAGAAACTCCAGTCTCACCTGCTGGGAGAAGCAGGGAATTAAGTTACATCTCAAAACTTCATCAGTAGTTTCAAAGTTTCATCACTAAATGGCAATACCCAGGTGTTCAGAAAAACTCTAAGTTATGGAGATTGATCCTCCATCCTCCTCACCAAATCCATTCTTCAACTCCATCAGCTCTATCTTCAAAATATATGGCAAATTTTTCCACCACCTCCATCATGACCACCCTAGTCAGAGCCACCATCCTGACTTGCTTGGACTGTTCCCTCCTCCCTTGGCCTATCTCCACCCACCAGTCTCCATGCAACTGCCAGAATGAAAATTTTAAAACTTGAATCAATCCTAATCCCCTAGTTTAACACTCTCCAAAGACTTGCTGTCACACTTAGAATAAAAGCTACATTATTTATGACAGACTATGTGGCCCCACGTGACCAGGCCTCTGACTACCCTGTTGTATCTCATCTCCTTCTCTCCATCTTACCCACTGCCTTCCAGCCTCATCAGTCATTCCTCAAATAAACTCAGCTCATTTCCAACACTGCTCCTTGGTCCTTGCTCTTCCTTCTTTCTGGGAAACTCATTCCTGGGTATCTGCATAGCTTCTTGCCTCTTGTTATTTAAAGCCCTGAATAAATGTCATTCCCAGAGAGGCCTTCCCTGACTACCTTTTCATCCAAACTAGGTCTCCTCCTCAGACATTCTTTATCATTTATCCTATATTATTTTTCTTTTTAGTCCTTACTCCTACGCAAAATTATACTGTATTGGTTATTGAGATATTTCCTTATTCCTCCTGCCATACCTATTTGAATCTTGTGTAAATACTCCTGTCTCTTACCCACCCTAGTTCTCCTTACAGAGAAACACGAGTTCCTATTCATTGGTAACAGCCATTGCTGTCAGGTGGAGGTAATAATTCAGAGATTTTTTTTTTTCTTTTTGGTACCAGGGATTGAACTCAGGGGCACTCCACCACTGAGCTACATCTCCAGCCCTATTTTGTATTTTATTTAGAGACAGGGTCTCACTGAGTTGCTTAGTGCCTCACTTTTGCTGAAGCTGGCTTTGAACCCGTGATCCTCCTGCCTCAGCCTCCTGAGCTGCTGGGATTACAGGCATGCACCACTACACCCAGCAAGTTCAGAGATCTTGAAAGAAATGTTTTGGTTTCTTTATCCTTTCCTGTCTAACAAAATCAGCAAGAGGCAGCAATTAGTCAGCTTCACACAGTCAAACTTTCCCTTCTAAAGTCTAAGCTGGGTCTAAGCAGGTTGTTAGCAATTCATCCACTTTTTTTTTATGCTAAGCTACATCATCCAACTTAGACTTTATCAGAAATAATGATGATATTCCTGCACCCATCCACAGACATATATGCATTATCTTTCATTAGTTGAGAACTCAGGAAGAAGGATGCTATTTATTGAATTCTCTCACAAAGTCAATAAATACGTTTGCTTAATTGCTTCTCTGCTTTCTCCAGTAGCTGGATTGTAAATCTTTCAAGTATTTGGACTTCAGCTGCTTTGGTTCCTAGAACAATAACTGATATGTAATAGGTGTTTGAAGAAAATTTGTAGAATGAATGAAAAGAATAACTGATCTTCCTCTGATGACATTAAAATTATAGTACCCAAATAACCAACTTCTGAGGGGAAAAAAATAAGCAAGGAGCTTAATCTTTTCAGATATAATTGCTACACAGCCCCCCAAAATACTATAACCTAAGTAACAGAAACACTAAAAAATATCTCAAGACATAAATATAAAACCAAACACTTCTTAACACCCCATGGGCCACTGTAACAGCCACCTACTAGGTCTGCCTGCTTCTACCTACCCCAACTGTCCATTCTCCATACTGCCTTTCAAAATGTAAGAGAGGTCACGTCAGATCACATCACTCCCCTGTTCAAAAACCAACAGCAATCTCCTTCCACAGTCTTTACAAAGGTCTCTGAAGCTGACTGATATTCTACCCCTCCAACTCTGTGACCTTATCTGTTATTCCTGCACCTTCTTCACTTTCATCCAGCCATGCTGGGTGCTTGGCTGTCCTTTGAAATGGCCAGGGATACCCTTGCCCTAAAGCCTCTGTATGGCCATTTCCTGCCTGGATTGCTGTGTATCTAACATGTCTTCTTGACTGACTCCCTGGATTCCTTTGTTCAAATTTAACCCTCCCACCCCCAACTCAATGAGCCTTTTTCTTACCACCTTATTTAATACTGGAACAGCCTCCCCCTCTCCCAATCCCACATTTCTAATCCTCTAAAGCACAAACTCTGGTCAAATGTTTATTTTATGATAGTACACAGTACCATACTATTTTATAATATCTTCATCTTATTTATTGTATATTACAGAAAATATTGCTCTTATACCAAACTGTTAGTCCTATCAGATCAGGGGTCATTGTTCTGATCACAAAGGAATAGATTTATTTTATTACTCAAAATAAAAACAAATTAAACCAAAGCTTAGGAATAATGTCCTTATTCCATAAACAATGTATGCGTGTCATACCTCCGTAAGGATGTGTCCTGTAACTGGGACTTGGGGGAGAATACAACTGCAGCTGGGCTGTGAAGATCCAAACCACTCGAAAAATATATTCAGTGAAAGGATGCAGGGACTCTACCTCATAAGAGAGCTTGGACACAGCCTAGACCCATGAGAGATCAATAATCAGCATTTATTATATCACCACCATACAATGTGATTTAAGAGAACAGGTTAATTTGTAGAAGTTGGATGGTCTTTTGGATATTGGGCCACCTAGATCCTGCCAGATGGGATGAAACAGAGGGCTGGAGCTTAGAGAACTTAGAACCAATCTGCAAATTCACACAGAAATTGTCTTCTGAGAATATAGATTCAATTATTTGGCACTTTCTTCAAAAATTTACATAAATATTTCTGTATTATTAAACTTGGTGTTGTGGGACTATTTTTTTCTGAATTTTCCCATGCTTTTATTTTAAAAAGACAGTTTTGAATGGTTATGATAGACAGCATTTGTAAATTGAAACAAGTGCCTGTGAAAATCTTTCTCCTGCCCTTGATCCTAGATGTAGTCATTTAGGAGGCATGGTCCGATAATGACCAATGAAATAATTGCTTATGTGATTCTGGGCTGAAGGAATTTAATATGTGGCCAACATTATATATTCCTCATAAAATAAAGGGTTTACAGAGTAGCCAAATTTGAAGCTCATCTACTCCAACCACTTATGCTTAAATCTTTTCTAGAATGCATTAGCACCTATATGTAATCTCCCCTTATTCATGGGGAGACTACATTTAAGACCACAGAATATACCTAAATCCTCAGAGAGTACCAAACTCCATATACAAATACTGTAATATAAATACTGTGAGAGTTCATCTGGTAACCTAGGCAGCTACTAAAGGAATAACAGATGGGTATATGCTGAACAAAGGGATGGCTTACTTCCCAGGGGAACAGAGCAGGAATCCATGAAATTTCATCATGCTACTCAGAATGATGTGCAATTTAAAACTTAACAATTCTTTATTTCTGAAATTTTTCATGTAATATTTTTGGAACATCATTGACTGCGGATAACTTAAACTTCATAAATAAAATTTACAGATGGAAGGGGAACTACTATAATTAGATGTAATATTTTGGCACTTGAATAATTTGGGAGTTTTTATTTAGATACAAAGGCAGTTTTTCATACCTCAGTGTAGGTCCAGCTTCCTGGAAGTTGCTCATATTTCCACTGAATGATGTATTTTACTCCAGAAATGTTAGCAGATTTCCATCGTAACGTCACACTATGGTTTCCAATGGAAGAAGCAAAAGGTGCTGTAGGAAGGTCTGTATTTTCTGGGGAGAAAACAAAGTTTCACTCACCATATACTCCTGTCCATCAAAGCAGAAGAATATAGGAATGTTTAATCCAGTGTTATCAGCATTCTCCTGATCCAGTCACTCACCTGAACAATAAGTGGTGTACATTTTCAAGACAGTCTTCCCTTCTTTTAAAAGGCAACTTGAAGTGTTCTGAGACCGTCCAATTTTCTCTTATTTTACCACTTTCTTAGTAGCAAGAATGGGAGGTACCAAAAACATGTCATAGCACAGCAGAACCATCTACTGCCAAGGATATATACCCCAAGGCAGTTTTTAAGTTTTATACTATAATTTTGCTGTTACTACGCATCTTGTCAACAAAATTTTTATATATACAGAGTTACTGCATTTATGGAAAAGGACTCTACATCCCACTGTTTTGCATTATAAAACATTTCATGATTTCTAAACATTTAGACAAATTACAATATGTAGGATACATTTAATGGATGCAACTTGCCAGGCACTGTACCAGCGGTTAGATTCCTGCATGGTATGTACCACTGGGATGAAATTTTTTTATATATATTTTTAGTTGCCAATGGATTTTTTACTTTATTTGTTTATTTATATGTGGTGCTGAGGATCAAACCCAGGGCCTCACACATGCCAAGCAAGGGCTCTACCACTGAGCCACAACCACAGTCCTGGGATGAAATTCCTTTACTTTACTTTTTTTCAATTTATCCAAAATTGTGATGAATTTCCCGCTTCAACTTTGTTATAGAAAAAAAAATCACTACTTTGTTTGAGAAAGCCTGGTAGGTTTGGTAAGAAGTTTAAAATTCTTAAATACAAATCCCAAGACTAACAATCTTTCTTTGAAAATTCTTATCCCTACAGGTAATGGATATAGACTAATTAAAATCCATACTCTCCAATCAAAAAAAAATTAAAGACATTTTCATCTGAGGGGCCAGTTCACAAAAAGGTCTAGCATAACCCTTCTCCTGCTTCATCTACTTGTGGTTCATTTTGGGGGTATGAAAGCTGTATAAGCAAAGCACACTCCTCATCCGCAAGCCTGTAATGGTCAAACACTGAATACCAAGGATTGGCAGGTGCTACAGATAACTTGAAGAGGATTTCAGTAATGGAGTTATCAGCAGACAAAGAAGGAAAACTGGAAGCATCAGAAATCACAAACAGGGTACAGGAACCAGAGTTATGTAAGTATAAGTAAATTTAATTTTACAGCTAAATAGAGACGTAACGTGTCAAAGTTTTGTGATACATATGAAAAATCAGAGGGAAGGAAAGTTTATTCTAAAATACCAAGGCAAGAGTGATTCAAATGAAAAAGCAAAGCTGACTGTTACACACTACTTTCATTAAGTGGAAGTCATAACAGCATGACTGCAGTCAGAACCGGGTTGTAATTCCTGCTATGTCTCTCACTAGCTTTAGGCCACCAAGAACGTGTTTAAACATTACTCCTCAATTTTCTCATCTGTCAAATGAGGTTATTTATAGTATTTATTCATCTGAAGACTAAAGGAGCTAATATTTATAAATTAATGAGAATAGTACCTGGCTCATAAATACTTAATAAAAAATAGCTATTGCTATTTTGATGGATTGTTAGCTATTTTCCCCCAAATGAGAAAGTATCTAAAATTGTGATGTGCTAGAGACAAACAGAGTCTTAGATGCATAGTCTTAGGTCATCATAACAAACTAAAGATACAGTCTCTAAGCTTAAATGCTTTTATTTACATTCGGTACATTTTATTTGTTAGTCACGCATAGAAATTGATCAACAGCCCATGAGAAATTAAATAAAGCATTGATTATACTTGTATTCTAATGGAATTAGATAATTAAATTGGTAATATAATTTTAGAATGTAAGAAAAAGGTATAAATCAAAGGTTCCAGCTTTCTCATGTCTGGAATTCTTAGCATCACAGTAATTTTTTTAGACTCTTTGGATCAAATAACTACCTAATAGTTCCATTTATTAAGTAGTGTTAACAATAAATGTGTATGTCCTAACAACTTAATAGATGCTTTAAAAATAATACATATATTGATGGGCAAAATCATATATTTATTTCATCCTTAAATAAAAACTACTTCGTAATAATACATCTGTGTGCCCTTTGGGCACTACACAGCTTCTCTAGTCTTATAATCTGATTAGGTATCTCCATCCTTATTCCTGTTTCATGTTGAGTTTCCTGTGGTACTTGCTTGTTACTCCAGAAATTACCCAAAACCCCAGCATTGCAAAGAGATAACGTCATGGAAAGGACTTCAGTGCAACGTGTTGTTTATGTCATGAACTTCCCCTAATCAACAGATCCATCAGTGTCCAACAGATGTTGACCATCCTTACATTTCTCTCGTGTCTGAATATACCCTAAGGCTCCTCACAGAGGCCCCTGTGGTGCCCTGGGGCATTTCAACATACAGTTTTAAAACCACAAAAATATAAATTTGACCTACAGCTAACTTTCACAACACAGAAGGAAAAACATGTTTTAATGTGTCCACTGTCTCTCCACAGAAACATTAAAGTGGGGTTTTTTGTTTGGTTTGGTTTGGTTTGGTTTGGTGGGACACTAAATGAGGACAACTAGGTGACAACATCCTTTTGATTTCCATCAGCCAAAATGTAAGGAAGAAATCAGTGAAACAAGGGCTTCAACATATGGAAGAGCCAAGCATGCCCCACAATGGAGGGAACTGTCTCTCAATGGGAGGAGACCCCAGTGATTTTTGCAAAAGATAACTGCTAACATCCAGGCTATGACTTATCAAAGCATTGGCCCTTCAGAAACCAATGGAGATTTAACACATTATGGCCAAGCCACTCACAAACACTCAGTCTACTTTGAAATCAAGCAGAGAGAGATGATGTACACCCAAATTTTCTACTTACTCAAAATCTAACATTGAGAAGTATAGCTTCTATACATTTCACAAATTCCTAGTGCCTTTTAAGGGAGCCATGCACATATTGGGTACTCAACTGAATAACTGTTAGCAGAATAATGTAATGCACATTGAATAAATAATCCTATACTTTTAGATATTAAAACTATGGCATTTTCTAAATCAAATCTGCTCAGAATATACATTTCTCCCTCACTAAGATAGAAGGGACTATGTATACTGATCATGAGGGCAAAATATGGTCCTAAACATAAGTCATGTGCCACATTTCCCACTATGTCTGGAAGAAGAGTCTTGCTAAGTCTCAGAATGTTCTCAACTTTTGAAATAATTTAATTTTCTCTATAAATATATTTTTATGCTACTGAGATGTAGAAGTCTTGATATTTTAAGAAACTTTTCACTATACTTTGATAATAGCAAGTCACTAATTGGTATAGATGCGAAATAATGGTCAAGTGCATTTTCTTACCCAGTACTTCCTCTTCATATGCACCTTCTGCACTACTGCAACCAACTTCACAGAACTCTCTCTATGGAAGACAGGTAGGACACAATTCAGTACAGTCTTTGTGCTGGTTTTGCTAATAAACTTCGAATTTGAATTCTGAGGACCTGTGTATCTTTATAGCAACTATTTCAACTGTAATAAAGTTCCCTCTTGCTAGTGAAATTAGATCAGTCCTTTCAGACTGTTTTTGAACATATTCCACAGTAAAAATAATAATAAAGAATAAAATTTTTTAAAAATCACTTAACAAAACAACCTAGGATACATATACATACTGAAAAGATTCTTAAAACCAACTTACTTTCCCCCATTTTAGCAGTTTTATTGAGATATATTCACATACCATAAAACTCACCCATTAAGAGCATAGTTTCAGTGGCTTTTAGTGTTATTTACAGAGTTGTGCAATCACCACCACAACATAATTTTAAAACATTTAAATCAACCCCAAAAGAAACCCTATACCTATAAGTGTTATATATTCAATTCTATTCCATTTTATTGTTTCATTGTTTAATGTGACTCTTGATTTGCTGAATTGATTTTATGACCCTCTAATGGATCCTACTCTACAGTTTGAAAAAGCACTAAGCTTGACAATGCAATTATATGTATGCCACCCTGGTCAAAGTTGTATGAACTAGAAACCTAAAATTCTAGCCTAAAATGATGCTTATAGATTGTCTATTTCTCATGTTGTCCATGTTCTCCTTGGAAAAATTAAAAACTGACATTTATATAAAAATTTTATAATTGCTAAAGATTTTAATGGATAGCTTAATACCAATGTTAAATTTTAAGATCTACTACATAATGATGATTAACATCTTATCTCATTAATCAAAAACAGAGTATGGATCTGATGAAAGAACACAAATCTGCAACTTTTAACAGATGCATTAACATTAGCTACAGAAAAAAGAAAAAAAACTTGGAGAAAGAGTACACATCATAAAAGCACAATGCAATCATGATCAATCTTCCTGCTTGCCTTCAATTTATAATTATTCCTAGGACAACATGCTATTGTTTCTCATGCTGATAGTGGAAACTGTGGCACACTATATTTACCCTGAAAAGAAGGGCTGTAACTTGTAAATACTAACTTTTCAATGTTTGATTTGTGCACTGAAAGGAAGTGGAGTCTGATAAGCCCAGGTTTGCTTAGTTAAGGATTAATTTAAATACCTTGGTTTGGGCTCAGGATGATTTAACTTAAAAGTTTAGTGTACTTTCACATCCTGTTTGCAAATTTCAGTAAAACACATTCAACACAATCCATTAACTACAGAAAAGAAACAAACCAAGCAACAACAAAAAGTATTACATAACATGAGGTTTTCTTTTCTAATAAAGAAAACCAAGGAAAAAAAGAGAGAAATTGAAATATAGATTATTTAGAAATATAGCTAATCCTGACAATCAGGGAAAATGGTGGCCCTGTTTTTTACAGGGGGAATATATAGTAAATTTTCCATCCATCTGAGAGTTTAAATGTTATCTCAAGAGGAGGCAAAGCTATCAACTAGCCTTCCCTTCCCCCACCTCTCAGTTCATGGAGGCAATCCAGCATTAGACTTCAAATGAGACTATCCAGTGTTCTTAAGCTCAAGTTATCTAGAGAAAATCTAGATTGGATCTAAGCAATTTATAGCATCTGATCTGTAAGCCCCCAGATGGAACATTAATACAGCACATTCCTGGTTTGTGAGTTGCCATTCCCACTGTTTACTCTGCCTGGGGATACATCAGTCTGCTGTCTCAATTCCCATTCCCACTTCCATTTTTTCCGTAGTATTTGAGTTTCCCTTTTGCTCCACCCTTGGTTTCCCAGGCTGCCAGGTACCTTTTCTAACTTCTGTCACACAGGAAGACACACCCCCAACTCACCATAAGAATTGTAGCATTGTTTCCTAAAGCATTCATTCCTTTCAGAATAGTTAAGTATTGGTGTTGATTTTACATCCAGCTACTTTGCTGAATTCATTCATTTACTTTGATGAATTCATAATTTGATTTCTTCTTTTCCTATCCATATCCCTTTAATTTTTTTCATCTGTTTGATTCCTCTGCCTAGAGTTTCAAGAACTATGTTAAATAGAAGTGGTGAAAAAGGCATTTCTATCTCTCACTATGCACAAAACTCAACTCAAAGTGGATCAAGGACCTAGGAATAAAACCAGAGATGTTGCGCCCAAATCTCCATCATGTCAGATTAGGCCCCAACTTCCTTAATAAGACTCTTATAGTGCAAGAATTAAAACCAAGAATCAATAAATGGGATGGATTCAAACTAAAAAGCTTCTTCTCAGCAAAATAAACAATCAGTGAGGTGAATAGAGAGCCTACAAAATGGGAACAAATCTTTACCACAAGCATATCATATAGAGCACTAATCTCTAGGATATATAAAGCACTTAAAAACCTTAACACCAAAAAAAAAATAACCCAATCAACAGATGGGCCAAGGACCTGAACAGACACTTCTCAGAAGAGGATATACAATCAATCAACAAACATGAAAAAATGTTCAACATCTCTAGCAATTAGAGAAATGCAAATCAAAACTATTCTAATATTTCATCTCACTCTAGTCAGAATGGCAGCTATTAAGAATACAAACAACTAAAAGTTTTGGTGAGGATGTGGGGAAAAAGGCACATTCATACATTGCTGGTGAGACTGTAAATTGGTACAATCTGGAAAACAGTATGGAGATTCCTTGGAAAACTTGGAATGGAACCACCATTCAACCCAGCTATCCCACTCCTCAGTTCATATCCAAAGGAGTTAAAAATAGCACACTACAGGGACACAGTCATATCAATGTTTATAGCAGCACTGTTCACAATAGCTAAAATATGGAGCCAACCTAAATGCCCTTCGGTAGATGAATGGATAGGGAAACTTTGGTATATATACACAATAGAACTTTACTCAGCATTAAAAGAGAATAAAATCATGGCATTTGCAGATAAATGAATGAAGCTAGAGAATATAATGCTAAGTGAAGCAAGCCAATCCCAAAAAACTGAAGACCAAATGTTTTCTTTGATATGAGGATGCTGACTAATAATGGTGAGGGGGGGGGTGCATGGAAGGAATGGAGGAACTTTAGATAGGGCAAAGGGGAAGGAGGGGAAAGGAGGTGGCAAAGGGGTAGGAATGATGGTGCAATGAGTTAGATATCATTACCCTAAGTACATGTATGAAGACACAAATAGTGTGGAAATACTTTGTGTACAATCAGTGACTTGAAAAATTGTGCTCTACATGTGTAATATGAAATAAATTGCATTCTGCCATCGTGTAAAACAAATTAGAATAAATAAATAATCATATAATATAAAAGAATAGTGAAGTATTTTTTATGTGCACTGTTTTAAGCTTAAAAATATGTCAGTTCTGCCTTTGTGAAACTTACATTCTCAGGAAAAGACAGACAATAACCAAGACATGTTTAGAAAAAAAAAAGTGACAAGTTTTTTTTTTTAAGTTAAGAAAATGAAAACTGCTATGAAGAAAAATAAAGCAAGTATGGGGCATGGTTAGACAGGAAAGAGGCTTCTTCCATGAGGGCGATCAGGAAGGACTGTGAAGTGACCTTCAAGCCAAGATTTGAGAGATGAGAAGGAGTGGATCTTTCAGAGATCTGCATGGTAAGGACAAAAGCCTCAAGGCAGGAATGTGACTTCTGTGCAAAAGGAAGAGGGAATTGCCCACTGGCTGGCACGGAGAATAAGACAATAAAGACTCATAAAAAAATTTTCAGAAACAATAAAATCAACTCTTGATCTTAGCCCAAAGGCTGAGATGCTGTGTTTCAGATTATCAGGGACAAGCCATCTCACTTGCTATTATCATTTTCCAAGTTGTATTTCCTTAAACTTTCACTTCAAGGATGTTCCTCCAAGAAACATGAATTGCAAAAATTTCAAGCTTCCTAGGTGGAAACATTAGTGATGAAAGAGGATGATTGTCCAAAGCGTGAAACACTGAGTTCAAATATATCTATCTATATTACATGTATGCCTTTCTCTTCAGTCCTACTTTATTTAAATTGTAATATTTTTAAGTGTAAAATATAAAGTATAAACAGATTATATTAGTCATAAAATCAACAGAAAGATTACTATCTGTAAGTACAGACAATTGAGCAGTATAATGATTAACGAGGAACTGGTAACTCAGGCCACACAATCCTGGGCAGCTTTGTTGCCTGTGAGATGCTCTTTCTCCCTGATTTTCCTCACCCCGGCACAATCTCCTTAGGGACTGTTCTTTGCAAATGATTTTTCTTTAATCACATAAAAGGTCCTCAGGAAGCTTGCTTTTTAAAAACTCAATCAGGCAAGATCTTTAATTGTCTATTTATGGGGCAAATTCCCCACCCATTTTATTTCTTCTTAGCCAGCTGCCACCTCTACCTATTCTCAAGGACAATTTGAGAAAATGTTCCAATTAAATATTTTTTATTCTTGTTTTTGTCCTCTGTTAAAAGGAAATTTTCTGCTTTACTAGGGATGATAATTTCTACCCCCTCCCCAGGCAGAATATGATAGTCCTCTTCTCTGGTTACCAGGACATTTAAATAGAACATAACAAGGTTTTGAAGTGAGAAATAATACTGCTATTGTCAAGTAACCTAATTCTGACGTGATGGAATCCAGGGCAGATAAGTTTAGCTGAAGAAGACTCAGTGGAAAGAGATCAAAATCCTAAGGTCTCTTAGAAGAGGTGAAAATCAAGTGCAGGAGAGAAGAGCCCGGAGGACAATAGAGACCTGCATGGAAGCTCAAGCCAGTGTGAAGTCACTCATTATCACAGCAGAGAGAAAAATTGTGTTTCAAAGTGTTGGCAAAGGATTATGTTAAATAATAAATCTGCAATTGCAAGGTTCTCTTTTAATGTGGTGAATTTCATGGTAGCACACCATATGTTTAGGGGAAGAAAACACCATTGGCAGAGATATCTCTGGACGTGCCCTTCCATTCTCCCCTCCCCTGCCAGTCCCAATACCCTCGCCCTCTGCCCAGAGTCCAGGAATTATACATTTTCAAACCACAGTACAATAATATACAGTTAGCACTCTGTATTGGTAAGTTCCACACCTGCAAAAAAATTTTCTTAAAAACTTAATCCAGACTAAACTTGTATAGCAATTTTTCCTTGTCTTTATTCCCTAAGCAATCTAGTGTAACAGTTATTTACACAGCATTCACATTGTATTCGGTATTGGAAGTAATCTAAAGATGATTTAAACTGTATATAAACTGGTTATGTGAAAATACTATACCATCTGGACTTAAGCATCTGAGAATTTTGGAATCTGCAAAGTTTCCCAGAACTGCCTCAATCACCTTCAGATACTGATACATATATATTTTGTGTGTTTTATGTATATTATGTATATATATATATATATATATATATACACATGAAACACAACAAATGTTTGTTGTGATATATATAATATATATGTACTATATATTTTATATATATATATACTCTGACATAGCATACATATAGAATATATAGAATAGTGTATATATATATATATTCATATATATGAATGTACATATACACATATATATTCACACATATATACATTATTATATATGTACATATATACACAAAACACAACAAATATTTGTTCCCCAAAATAGAATTATACCTTCATTTTTATACCCACAGTAATAACACTTCCAATAAGATTAATAGCTGTTTAAAGACTGGAGATAAAAACATGAGGTTTGATGACATCTTTTTTTATATGTTATTATCAACTCACCTCACAAACGGTGGCATAGGTATCATTCTGCATAGAAAAAAAATGAAAGAAAAAGTACTTAAAATTCTTAAAGTTGTAAATAATTTTAATGATGCTTAGCTGTACATTTCTTCCAAATTAATTTCTTGTCCCACCATTAATAACCAACAAAAAACAAAAAGGATCCCAGAGCTGGACCTTCTGTCCAGGCAGGTCATTGTATGCATGGCTCTAAAAATCATGTTATTTGCATAATTAGTAAAAATGGAAGAGTATGATGTCTGCAAGAAAACCTCAGTCAAATAAGAGAGAATCTGTGAACAGATTAGGGAATGAATGAGTGTCTGCAGAGGTCTAAGAGGAACAAACTTGTTAGAGTCTGTAAACAAGTCAAAATAACACCTGGCATTTTGCCAGGGGAATGTTAGAGTTCGTAAACAAGTCTGGATGGTGCCTGGCAAAATGCCAGAGGGAGTGGTTTGAGAAGTAACAAAAGCGAGCCATTAAGTGTGGAGATTCCTGATTGGTTGACTGATGTATCTAGTTTATGCTAATTAGATAAGCTGTGCGGAATGTATAAATACTGCTCCTGTCCTGCAATAAACAGCTCCTACTCCTGCTGTATCAAGTACACAAGTTATTTGTCACCCCCCGGTTATTTTGCTGCAGCCATACTGTGGCACAAACTGAAATGAAAATCATCACCCATAGCTCTGGATAGCAAAGGCCAGCAAGTTCTTATGCTCAGACTGACTGCTCCATCAATAACTCTGCTTTTTGAATTGTTTTTGTCAACAAATGGTACTTCCCATTAATTCATTTGGCAAGTATTGATGATGGAACAGCTACTTTGTAGTAGTGAGTTCAGAGAATACAGTCTGAAAACTGTCCTCCCCTGATCAAGCTTATATTCTGGAGAAAAAATATTAAACATACACCTAGACAAATAATTACATAAGTTGCAATTTGTGAGAAGTGTATGGCAGTTACCAAGTCCAGAGGACAAATGCTTCTCTTTTTAATCACTTCCACTATATGAGGCCCACAACTACAAATATGGGGATGGGCAAAATAATTCCTGTAACAGAAGTCTTCAAGGATACACTAAATAAGAAAAACTGTAGGGAATATATATATATATATATATATATATATATATATATATATGAAGGGTTTAGTGTCCGTATTTAAACTTTGCTGCCATAATCTACTCATTAATATAAAATAATATTAGTATTACCCAACATTATTATGATTCATACTGATTTAACCTCTGACATGAACACCTAAACAAATGACAAAATTCCTATCCATGATACCAGAATACTTATAATGTGTCAGTAACCATCCTTAGAAGAAAGATTGTATTATTATCCTAATCTACCTATGAGAAAAGTAAAGAATGAAGGAGTTAAGTGCCTTAATTAAGTTACACACTAAATGACAAATCCAAGTCAAATGAAAAATAAAGTCTTTGAGATCAATTTCTTAAATGAAGTGGAGTGTTTGCGACCTCTGGATTAGATTGCTATGCTACCATGTTTTCTACAAAGAAATTTTGAACATGATCTAGTGCCCTCCTATCCAAAACGCAGTTTGGGGACCACTAGTGTCTTATCACCTAGAAACTTGTTACAAGTGCAGAATCTCAGGCCCCACCCCTGATCTACTGAATCAGAATATGCCTTTTAGTATACTGTATATTAAATACCTTTTAGTATTCCAGTATACTGGAATCTTGTACATTAAACTTTGAGAAGCACAGGGATAGAAAATTTAATAAATACCTAACATTCTACTAAAATGTCTTTATAGTGAAGCATTTGGGCATCCCTGGTTTGCATCAACCTTCCTTGGATGATACATTTATAATGCTGATCTCAGCTTTTTTCCCATTACTACTTATTACTCAGGCTGTCATGCTTTTTCTTTAGGGTTAAGAAAACTAGCTGGAAATGGGAACGCAAATGGGAATCCTCTTAGACAACTTTTCTCTAAAGGGAGACATCAATATCAAAATTAAAAGATAGCTAATACTTACACACTTTAAAGCACAGTTTTCCTGTTCTACAGAGTTCCAAAAATGACATCCTTGGATGCACTGCAAGAGACAATAACAGATGATAATGACTGAAGAAATGTGACTTTTTCTTGTCATCTGGAAATGCATAGTAACAAAAAGTATCTCCCATGTTTTGGAAACAAAGCTACTAAGAGGTTGAGGCCTCCAAAGGATCAGGACCTTTTGGATTCTAATTAGAGCTGTCATATCTACAGACAGACAAGGGCTTGATGTGGTTCCCTGCAGGGCAGCAGGTTGCCGAGGGGAGTTAAACCCTGGGCAAGCCCTGACCCAGGAAGCACCCAACCGTCCAGAACACACTGTCCACTGGCAACAGGTGGAGTCCAGGGAAGCATGGCATCAAGTATATCCTGAGTCCACAGGCCATTCTCACTTAACAAGCAAAACCCAACACTAGGGACACAAGCAAAAGGTAACATGCTAAAACTTAGTAGGTAGACCATTTGGGAAGTCAGCAGCCTACTTGCTGGCTTGTCTTCCACAGCTGCCCTGCAAACATCCTCCCACAGCTGCCCTGACCTCCTATTGGGCTGAGTTGGTACAATTCTTCTTACTTGCTCTTTCTGTGCCTCTGACTGTATTGGTCATTCCTTCCACAGGTCACATGTGGATAACCCCCAAATTAATAACTGCTCCTCTCTAACTCCAGATCCACATATCCTCTTGCTCTTTGGACATTTCTACTTGAATCCCCCTGCAAACACCTCAAATGAGCATATGAAACATTAATTTCCTTGTTTTTCACCCTCATCTCTTCTCTTTCTCCTGTGTTTCTTGTAACATGGCCCCAATTTAATGAGTTGTTTGAGCCAGGAATCAGGGCTCCTTCTCCTCTCATGCACTATCCCCCATCCTCATAGACAAGCCATCACCAAGTCCTACTGACTCATCTAGTCATTAACTGAAATCCATCCAGGTTCCTCACTCACTGCCCTGATTTTCTGCTTTGCCCTTCACCACTTGCCAACAGCCTCATGAACTTGTTTCCCTATTTAGAGTGATCTTTTTAAAACCAAACCTGGTCACAACCTTTGCTTACCTTGAATTCTGTCTCTCCATTATTTTCTGGATTAAGGCCAAGTTACCAAGAATGATATACAGCGCCCTTCATGACCTGGCCTCACCTAACTTGCCAGTTTTCCTCTTTCACATCCCTCCCATTCCATACAAATTGCATTTTTTCAAACAAACTGAAAAACTTTTACTGTTCTGAACAAGTTAGGCTGTTTTGCACCTTTGTTCCTTGAAAAAAAAAAAAAAAGCCCTTTAACTGATATGCCTTTCCTTCATCTTCTAAAAATCTCTTCCTCTTTCTAATTTCAGTTTAAAGGTCTTTCAAGAAAATACAGAGCCTTTTTCTTTTTTCTTTTTTTCTCTTTTTCCTTGTATGTAATCCTTTAACACCCATCCACCCACACCCATACAATACATCACTATTCTGGTTCTCAGATGCTGTCTGGCCATGGTTTTATGTATGTCTCAAAAGGTTGATGATCCTCTTAAAAAGAGACTGTTTTATTCCGTAAATCTCTGCTACCTAACTCAGTGCCTGCTTCAGACCAATACTTCAAGTCACTAAACATTTGTTTATGTTATGGTTGGATGAGTTGTCCCCCAAAAGCTCACGTGTGAGACAGTGCAAGAAGGTTCAGAGGAGAAATGATTGGGTTGTGAGAGCCTTAACACAATCAGTGAGTTAATCCCCTGGTAGGTATTAACTGAGTGGTAACTAAAGTATTAGGGTGTGGCTGAAGGAGGTGGGAAAGGGGCATGGCTTTGGGGTATACATTTGTATTTGGTGAGTGGAGTCTTTCTCTGTTTTCTGATCACCATGATGTAAGCTGTTTCCCTCCACCACATTCCTGTCCCCCCACACACCCTTTTCCTATAAAATGTAATTTTAGAAGAAACATTGGAGACTATCTAGCCCAACTCTCTCAAACAATACATAGTAAAACTAAGTCTTAGAAATAGTAAGCAAATTATCCAAAACCATGCAGCTACACAGAATCAAAAATCACAATCTTGGGTTACTCCAGTGCTTTTTCCATCTTAACACACTTCATTTTTAAACAAATTCCATAATCCAGACTCCTCACTATTTCCATTGATCACTTTTTAGCAGGGATATTGTTAATGGTTTGAATGCAAAGTGTCCTCCAAAAGCTCATGTGTGAGACAATGCAAGAAAGTTCAGAGAAGAAATGATTGGGTTGTGAGAGCCTTAACCCAATCAGTGAGTTAATCCCCTGGTAAGTATTAACTGAGTGGTAACTGAAGTAGTAGAGTGTGGCTGGAGGAGGTGGGAATTGGGGAGTGGCTTTGAGGTATATATTTGTATCTGGCAAGTAGAGTCTCTGCTTTCTAATGTGAGCTGCTTGCCTCTGTCACTCTCCTACCATGATGTTCAGCCTCACTTTAAGCCCCAAGAAATGGAGGCATCCTTCTATGGACTAAGACCTCTGAAGCCCTCAAATAAACTTTTTCTCCTATATAACTGTGCTGCTCAGATCCTTTTAGTCACAGCAGTGAGAAAGCAGACTAAAACCGACAGGTAAATGAGATTTTATTTAGTAAATATCCTTATTGTCACAAAACCTGATCGTTGTCCCTGTTATATTAACACAAACAGGGTGAAGCTCTTGACAAGGGAAACAGTTACTCACTGGTTCACTCAGGTTGTATGGTGTGCCAATGTCAAGCTGCCTTGCCTGAAATAGAGAAGGAGGTGGTAAGTACCAGTATCAGTTGGGCTCAGCATAACTAACTGCACCTTTTTTTATTAAAAAAAAAAAAAATCCTGGAATCATATTGCCTCCTCATTGTTTTCTAACTGTAAGTAGAGAAACCAAATGTTTCCAAGTCATTAAATCCATCATGAAACTAGACAAAATGCTTCTACAATTTATAGATAGAATGCCTAAGTGTTCTGCAGGAACTACCAAGGTGGAAGTGAGTGTGACTCTAAGGAGTGGTGAAAGATGATGAAGAGAGTCTCATAGAGACTCAAGTAATTCGGAGGGTTAGTCAATTAATCAAGTCAGATGAATTATTCTCAGATTTTTCTTTTTTGCAATTACTCGTTAGAAAGCAGAAAAAATACAAATTCATAATGTCATACAAGTTATGTTTATTTCTCACAATTTTCAATTTTTAATAAGAGAAGTTTCAATGGGACAAAATAAAAGGAATAGGCAATAAAGGGGAGGGTCTCCAAATTTCTCATCCTTTCCTGGTCATTATTTGAATGGAGTCCTTCATCAATAGAAAATTGGCAAAGCAGGGAAATGGATGGCACTAGAGCAGATTATGCTAAGTGAAGCTAGCCAATCCCTAAAAAACAAATGCCAAATGTCATCTTTGATATAAGGAGAGCAACTAAGAACAGAGCAGGGAGGAAGAGCATGAGAAGAAGATTAACATTAAACAGGGATGAGAGGTGGGAGGGAAAGGGAGAGAGAAGAGAAATTGCATGGAAATGGAAGGAGACCCTCATGGTTATACAAAATTTCATATAAGAGGAAGTGAGAAGAAAGTGGGAAAAAAAAAACAAGGGAGAGAAATGAAGTACAGTAGATGGGGTAGAGAGAGAAGATGGGAGGGGAAAGGAGGGGAGGGGGGGTAGTAGAGGATAGGAAAGGCAGCAGAATGCAACAGACAATAGTATGGCAGTATGTAAAAACGTGGATGTGTAACCGATGTGATTCTGCAATCTATATACGGGGGAAAATTGGGAGTTCATACCCACTTGAATCAAATGTATGAAATATGATATGTCAAAAGCTTTGTAATGTTTTGAACAACTAATAATAAAAAAATAAAAATAAAATAAAATAAAGAAAAAAAAGAAAATTGGCAAAGGATGGCGGTACTGGGCCTACGATAATGAGATAATACCTGAATAGTGTCACATGGAAATGGACTAATTTTCAATCATAAAATCAATCATATGCTCCACTGATTCACTCAGAGACAGAGGCAACCTAAGTAAATATTTCTAGTAATTCTAGTTGGTACCTATCAGAACCTCCTCTTAAAGCTTTGATGATATGAACCACTGAATTGGAGAAGTGATTAATCCAGCAAGGTACATGGCATCTGTCCTTGGCTGACCCAATACTACAAACAAGATATGTCACAGGAGATGACAGAAAATCCCAAGGAGGTTCTGGAGGTGGCTTAAGTATCTGATGAGGCCTCAGAACGGCCTGTGTTGTTCAAAGGAATGATAGAAGACATTCAATCACTAAATTCACTGAATACTCTCCTCCTTTCCATCCATTTTGCTCTCACTTTATCCCCCATGCCAAGAACAGTGCACGAGGGACGACAGATCATCAATAAATACCTGAGGAAGGAATAAATCCATGAATTCACGTGGTCTCCCACTTCATAATGCTCCAGAAATCCCTTGGAGGCATTGTTCCATGGCCTAGCATTGTGTGGGTTAAATTCAAAAGTAATCAGACACAGAAACCAGAAAAAATAAAGGTTGTCTTTTTTCCCCTCTCATTTGATACGCGAACAAGATTTCTCTAAACTCTATTCCCTAACCACTTATATTTTGGGGGAAAGAAGAAGTTTGCTTATATATTTTTTATTTTCATAAGATCTAAATAATAACAACATTTTGTTTTTAGAAAGGACTAAACGATTAATCTTTTAACCAAGTGTTTAGTAATACCTTGCTTCTACAAATTTGTTCAAAACAAAGTTTTGATTCCCCCTTATATGAATCAATCTCAATTACATAAACTCAATTGAAAGACAATGAGTTCCTAATTAAATTTTTTTCCAGTCCCTTTCAAAATATACATTAGTTCATAAAAGCAAAAAAGTAGATGATGGGTAGTCTTTGAGTTGTGTTTTAAACAATAAAACAACAGAGATATTTCTTGGCGAACATAAAGTCACATCGTAACAGTAATGAGTTTTTCTGGTACTTATGGAGATTAAATTTAATGGGCTGAATGGAGTGCCTGTCAGGCAGTATTGGAAAAGGTATCTTCATGAGTCAGGTGTATGAATTTCCAAAGGAACATGTTTTGTCAACATCTTCCCTATTTTCCACTCATTTTCCATCCTTCTCCTCATAATCATCATAGCAAACATTTATTGAATTATTCTAGTGTTCCAGAAACTCTTATAGGAGTTTTACACTAAATCTTACTCAGCCATCTCAACAACCCTATAAGGTGGATGCTAGAATTAGTCCCATTTTATAGCTGTGGCACAGAGGGGTTTAGTAAACTGCCAGAGTAAGGATTTGAAAAGGGCAGGCAGATTGCCTCCAAAGCCTGTGCTTCTCATGAATGTACAAGCCCTCCTACACTTAGCACCAAATTCATATTTCTCTCTTTGGACCTTAGGATCTCCCAGCAATTTACCTTAGTTCCAATGGCTCCAATTATCTGTCTCAAAGAGAGAAACTCAGGCCCACATCTCAGACCCTTTTAACTTGATATCCACTTATTGGCACAAGCCTTTCTGTTCTGCCCACCTCAGTTGAAAATAATCTCATTATTTGATTCCTACCCTTAAAAACAGAACAGAGCAGAATGATCTGCATTTTCATCCCACATATTATACTTGCTCTCAATATGAAATTTTAAACTGACTGTTCTCATCTGACACACGAATAGGATTATATATTATTCATAAGGTTCTGTGAAATTTAGATTAAACAATGTGTTAACTATTATTGTACAGAACAGGCCTTAGAATCCTATTATTAATATTATGTGCAAACTTGCTATAAAGAGCCCTTTGCATACATATCTTTGGTTAGTTATGCAATAATCCCATTAGATAAATCTCTTGAGATGCAGGGTTGAAGGTATATTTTCCCTTTCGATTTTGGTATTAGTTAACCCATACCACTATTTTCTAGATATTTATCAATGTACATCCCAACCAATAGTAAATGTAAATGCCAGCCTTCTCATACCTTTGCCAAATGTAAATGATTTTATCTTTGCCAACCTGATAGAGGAAATAAAAATTCATTTTTACATTGCAATTCTGAGAAGTTTGATTATCTATCGCTCAATTTTTAGCTATCCATACCTCTTCCTTTTTGAAGAAGTTATTCAAGTTCTGAACTTATTTTACACAGTTTTTATGTATTTTGAGATTGGTAAAATTTTATGTATAATAATAATAAATAAACTTTATTTGTAATAATTTATGTAATATCTTTTTTTCATCCTTTTTTTTTATACCAGTGCCAGGGATTGAACCCAGGGACACTTAACCACTAAGCCACATCCTCGGCCCTTTTTATTTTTTTATTTTGAGACAGGGTCTTGTTAAGTTGCTTAGGCCTTGCTAAATTGCTGAGGCTGGCCTTGAACTTGTGATCCTTCTGCCTTACTCAGCCTCCCGAGCCACTGGGATTACAAATGAATGCCACCATGTCAGGCTCTTTTTAAACTTTTTGCCTTTGTTTGTATTGTATTCTGTTTATTGTCGAATAGTTTGAATTTAAATAGTCAAATTTATTGATCTTTTAGGGAGACTGGATTTTTTAAATCAGGCTTTTCAAAGCATTCCCATTCCAAATAGAAACATTCAGCCCTATTTTCTTCTAATATTTTAATGGGAAAAATTAGGTTTTTATTTGTTATTTGTGTGTATTCCAATCATATCCTTTGCGTAATTACTTCCTGGAATTTATTTGAATCTGATAGTAATGTAGGTATTTATTTTTATTAAAAATAGATGGTGCCTTCTTGGCTTGAATTCTCATCTTTATTATATTCCACACTCCCTTATAAGAAATGGACTTATTTCTGGAATATATTCCATTTTATGATCCAGTCTATTCTTATATCAATATAAACTGTACTAATATCTGGACACTTGATAGAAGTTTTGGATTGTGGTTTTGTTCCATTACACTATTTTAATTTTACATTTTGATGTACAAGAAAGATAATGATATTTGTACATGATTTTTTAAAACCAGACAACTCTCTGTGTCCTATGGTTCCTAATAATCTCTCAGTTGATTTTGGAAGATTCCTTTGGAATTTTAGAAGAAAATAAAAAAGTTATTATCATCATCCTCCAATATTTTAAAACCTATGATATAACCTATTTGTAGTAGCTTTTAGCTGTCTAGTGTTGGAAGCCTTAATATCTTAACATGCTGTAGCTTCCAATAGGGCAGAAATTGCATAATCTTTTTATAATCCCAAGTGGACTTACCACAGAGCTAACTGTACATAGATACCCAGGAAATTTTATTGGGTTGAACTGATACTTCCAACTGAACACTTCTCAACATTAGTTCCTCAGTTGCTGGGATTTATCACTCAAAAAAAGGATTGTATTGCCAAAGATTAGAAAATTGTGATTAAACAAATCCTTTATACTGTGCCTATAGATCTACTAAAAGGGTGGAATAAAATGCACTTCCTCAAATTATGTGACCATCAATTTTGTTTATTATTTTCTTTTTTATCAAGAATCTCCCATACTGGTTTTCTGAAGAACATTACTTATTTATTCTGCTGCAGATGACATATGGAATTCAAGCATACTTGCCAGTTAATATACTCAACTAACACGTATAGATCCCTTAAATAATGTAAACACCCATCTTCGAGCACCAGAACTCAGACTTGTGCATTTTATGTGGTGCTGAGGATTAAACTCAGCGCCTTGCCTATGCTAGGTGAGCGCTCTACTGCTGAGCCACAATCCCAGCCCCTTGCCCAGCAATTCTAACAACCTCTTGTTCAAGACTGTTTCTTCATTAAATCAAAAAATGCTTCAATATCAAGAATCACTCAGTGAAATCAAGGATGACCTTACAGCAAACATCCATGTTAAGAGGATGGCCCAGGACATAATAAGCCACACAGCCTCTGCCCTGATCCAGGGCTATGCTCACATTCACCCCTCCAAGTCCTGGGTGGGCGGCCCTGATCAGATTATTCTTATCACAGTCTCTGGTCAAATTGGCAGGCGGTGTCTCTCCTGCTGTCCCCCACCTCATCAGCTGTGCCATTCCTGTAGGTGGGGAGCGGAAGGCAGCTCAATAAAGGAACAAGCTGTCCACTCTCATAGCCAAAACCTGACCCAAGCAGCCCACACAGAAAGACAAGAATAAAAACAACTAAACCAAACCAAACATGGAGCCTGCAGTGCTGAAGAATCACAATTCGATCCAATAGCAGGGAAATTAGCAAATTAGAGTGATGCTCAGGGTTTAGGGGGAAACTCATAATACAATATGAAATGAAAAGGCCTGGTGCACAACCGTGTGTAGAATTGTATGTAAATATATATTTGAGGATATATTTGGGAGAAAACGCTAAAAGAAAATACAATTAGAAGTTAATAGTAGTGTGATTATATGGTTCTTCTCCCTTCTCCATTTCTTTACCTTAAAAATATTTTACAACATATACATAATCTTATTATAACCAGAAAATCATTTTAGAGATAAAATAATTAATAGTTCCATGCTTCTGCTGTTTTCTTTGTTTTTGTTGTTGTTTATTGTTGTTTTGCAGTACTAGGATCAAAGCTAGGACCTTGCACCTGCTAGTGAAACACTGTATCACTGAACTACATCCGCAGCCCAACCATGCTTCCATTTTTAAGTTTGTATTACAATTATAAAAAACTAAAGTCAATTATTCAACATTAAAGGCAATGAGATCTTCAGCAAAGATTTCTATAAAACATGGATCTATTTTTAAAATGCTATTATCTATAGTAAGCTTAAGTAGTGTTTTAAACTATAATTTAAATCAAACTAAAAGTGTGTAACACGAGTTTCTTTTTTAATCTGCCACTGAATTCTATCTCTAATGTTAGCATAATAGTGATGAACATATTTGGTACTTCATTATTTTTAAATATATGACAATGTGTCATATGTAAGCTCTCATACTATTTCCTTAGTCTTTAGATAGTAAAGTACATTTTTCTTTAGCCAGCAAATACTTGATTTTTAAAGATGATTCCATGATTGTTTAAGGCACAACTAAATTGCAAGTGAAAAATATGATGCAACATATGCAGAAGGTATAGAAGGTGTAAAAAACAAGAAATAAGAAAACAAATTTCCATATGAAAAAATTCATTAATTAGAAATTACTTACAGCCAGAAATAAGAGAATTTACAAATAATTTTTTCTTTTGAAGTGAAGTGTTTTACATGGCATCTGCATCTACTTCTGTCATCCGGCTCCCTGTACTGTGATCCACCCATGATACAAATATTACTGTTACTGCAGAACTAGAAGATTTACACTGTGGCCAAACCCCTTCATATTTAAGACAAATATGAATCATATTGTGATCAATTAAATGAAATATTTTTAAAGTGTGCAAAATTAGGCATCCACTTAAGCCTCCTTTTCCCAATCCCCACACTACCATTCCCCCCACCCCAAAATCTATGACCAGAAGACAAAGAAACAAAATTACCTGACTTATCCTCTACAATCATGAATATTCCTGACTTAGTTCAGGGGGAGAAAAAAAAAAACAAAAACCCTACCTTTCCTTGTTTCCACTTCTCATGAGAAAAGTTCTCATAAAAAGAAAACTGTTCTATCAATTGTAACAAGTGGAACTCATATTCCAGTCCCTGTAAAGACAAATCTGCAATTGTTGAAACTTACCAGGCTGGATACACACGACTTCAGGCAGCTGTTTAAAACTGTACACTGCACCACAGAAATCCATATGCAGCCAAGAGTCACAAAATTGACAAATTTCAGGATAAGCCAGTGAATGTTCTTCATCACTTCACCAGTGGAGGATTTTTTAGATGGCTGGTCTTCTGATTTTCTCCATTTTGCTATATGAATTCTTTAGGCTTCATCACTTCAATTGAAAGAGTGTCGAGTGGATTTTTTTGTTGTTGTTTTTCAACGTTTGAGTATCTTTGCCTTTTTGAAATAATATTTCGACCCTATAGTTTAGACCTTTGAATCCTAGATAGCTTGTAACAATCACATAGCAGCTATTTCATGACTTAGCTTCCTTTTACTCCCATAAAGAAAGTCACTCACCGACTAAAAGGTTAGACCTTAGCGCTTCTCATGGAAAGTAAACAAAGCAGAAAACATAAATTGCGTGTTGGCAAGCTTGTGACACTTGCACAGTCTGAAAGTAGAAGGCTCCCATGGATCATCTACCACTTTACTTCTTTGAGGTTGGTTCAGTTATGCAGGAAATTGGGTTTTGGCCACCTCAGCTTTAGCAAACAGTAACACTATTTTAATAATTATTTTATTTAAAAAAAATAGAAGCATCTAAGCCAAGTATTGCAAGAGAAAGGGAAAACAGAACACTTAAAAACTAAATACTTGTTTTAAAATCAAAGAGCAAACAAAGTTGAAATTAATAGACGAATTCTCTGAGGTTAGTTATAGACAAGGAAGTTTGTTAGAACACTTGCAGAACTTTACTACATATTAACTAAAACACTCTTATCAGGCCTATTGAGACAGAAACCAGCCACCAGAGAGACCTCAGATATGAACAAGTGTAGCTGCCCTGAAGAGGAAGTAATATGCAGAATTTCAGTTAGCCTAGCCTCAAGATAAAGTTAAGTCAAATTCTAAAACAAAGAATTTGAAATCTATAAGGTGCAAAAGGGATCCTGGATGGCTATTTTTTTAGATTGTGGAGTGCGAACTCTTCAAGGTCAGATATTTTTGTGATAATGTTCTTTTTTTAATGATAATCTGAAGTGTCAAATAAATTTCCTTGTTTTATTAAATAAATTCTAGCAAATATAATTAACCTTGTTTTAGGGGTATGAGGTTCTCATTGTAACACATGCATGAGTTTTTTTTTTTTTTTTTTTGAGCCAAATATCTTCACTAAATGCTCACAGATTGTATGCAACATAAACGTAAATAGAAACTGACCCCAACTGACCCCCTAAAACTTCTTTTCTTGATAAAATTCTCTAATGTTCACCTATTCTTTGTTCATTTTTTGCATTTTCAGGAATATAAAGAGATCATCTAGCTACTCAATATCTTGGTTGGAGGAATCTGACCATCTTTCTACAAAATATGCTTTTAAATCAGGGAAAAAGTATCTTGCATAACGGATTTTATCATTCCAATAAAATTTATCTTCTCGGGGTTGGGGTTGTGGCTCAGTGATAGAGCACTTGCCTAGCATGTGTGAGGCACTGGGTTCGATTCTCAACACCACTTATAAATAAATGAGTAAAATAAATGTCCATCAACAACTAAAAAAAAATTTTAATTTATTTTCTTCTTCACTATGGTTCTTTTGGTGTGTTTTTTGTTTGTTTGTTTGTTTGTTTTGGTACAAGAAATTGAACCCAGGGGCATTAACCACTGAACTACATCCCCAGCGTTCATTTTTTATTTTGAGATAAGGCCTTGCTAAGTTGCTTAGGGCCTCGATAAGTTGCTGAGGCTGGCTTTGAACTTGAAATCCTCTTGCCTCAACCTCCTGAGCCACTGGGATTACAGGCATGTGCCACTGTGTCGGCTTATTGGTGCCTATTGCCCTTTTAGCACAAACAACATTTGTAACTTTTACTTCATTAACAAAATGGAGCACCAAATATGATCCACTGAAAACTTATATGCATTCTTTTATCTCATTTCTTTGTTCTAACTTTATTGGTGAGGTGGGAAAATGAAATATCCTTCCAATTTCAAGATTTTGCATTTATGCTGGTTTGCATTTGTGCTGGTTTTTGGGATTCAACCAGCACATAAATTTGCATTTGTGTGAGGTGAAATGTGTTCAAGAACATTAGCTGCAGAATTACTTATATCAGTCTGTCTGTGAAAGGTCATTGCACACCTGATATTCCCTTTATGCACATGCAGCAAGGCATGTAGTTGTGTTGTCTTTTTGCCCCTCAGTGGTAAATCCATATGACATTTTGCAAAATGAAATTTTGAAAAATGGGTAATTGAAAAAAATGAATTGCCCAAAAAAAGATTAAATACAGCAGAGTGAAAAAAATGGAATTTGAATCAAATGTAAACAAAATTAGAGAATTAGCAATCATTAACCATGTGTGTTAACTTTCTGTTATTATAACAAATACCTGAGATAATCAACTGATGAAGAGGAAAGTTTATTTTGGCCTACAGTCTTGGAGGTTCCAGTCCATGACCAAGTAGACCACTGCTTTTAGTCTCTTGGTGGGGTGGCAGACATCATGGGAGGAGCATGTGGTGGAACAAAGCTGCTCACCTCATGGACAAGGAGTAAATGAAAAAGATGAAGGGGCTGGAGTCCCACTTTTCCTCTTGAGGGTGCCCTCCCAATGACTTTCCACTAGGCTCCACCGTTTAAAGACTCCACCACCTCCTACAGCACTTCTCTGGAGAACAAACTTTGAACCCATGGGCTTTGGGGAAAATTCAAGATACAAATGATAGCACTATAAGAATAACGATATTGCTGCATTTGAGACTTTAGACCTGCAGCCGAAGGAAATAAGTGAGGGTAAATTACAGACATAAATGAAGAAAGACATTGTGATGAAAAATATATCCCAGAGGAAATCATGCTGGCAAAAAAAAAGCCACATTAATAAATCTCTTGGAGATATTTCAGAATATCTGAAAACACAAAAGATAAAATATCTAATATTGATCTTAACTTAGAAAGAAATTTGACAATTTGTAAAAGCATAAAAAAGAAGATCTCTTAGGATTAAGTTGCAGGATGAGAACAGGAGGGTAAGAAACAATTGTAATTTTTCCCAGTCATTATTAAGATCACTTTGCACATTTTCAGATTACATAGTTATTTTTATGGTCCTGCACTACAAAGTAAAATGAGGATTGCCTGTATAGTAAACCACATGGGTGGGAGGGTCATAGTCAGAGGCAACCACAGTTGTCTTCTCAAGGGAGAAAGAAAAAAAAATTCTTTCCTGACTACCCATTTGTAATGTCTGAATTTTTTACTCTGAACACATATTACAGACTCAAAAAAATTGTTTTAAAACAATAATTTTAAAAACAGTCTATTCTAGCATTTAAAAAAAAGAGAATTCACAATCCTGCCAATTCATCTCATGTTAAAATAGGATACCCTAAATACCCAAAAAGCTCAGATCAAGAAAATTCCTCCAAAGTGACTTTGAATAAAATCTTAGCTACAAACAATAAAATTTTATCCCCAAAACAGGACTGAAACTGCTGTTTAATCCCCTACAATAAATCAAATTTCCCATAAGGTAATCTCTGTAATTAAGAGATAACATTCTGAAACAATGACCTGGGTTAATAGATTGACTCAGGTAGCATTTATGACAGAAGTTGTTCAAATGTTCTCCATGTTCTGATCCTTCTTCATTGGAATGATCTTCACATTAAGTTACGAATGGAAATGACTTGATATCATCAGAAGTTATCAGTTCTGAAGTTATATTTATTGAAAATATACAGTACCTGTGTAGTCAAACTCAGTTGCTCTTTTGACAACATCATATAATTCAAGGGAAGTGAAATTGTAGAGTCATCAAAAAGAGCCCCAAACATGGATCCACTACCATTTTACTATTAGGCTAGAGGAGGGTCACGTCAACATTCAGGACCTATGAATGTGCCATGCAAGAAAATTCTTACTCAAGCATATACTTCTGCCATCAAATTTTACTGCAAGTATGGTCAGAGTGTATCACAGTACATAAGCTGAACCTTGAAATTAGCCAAGATGCACTGAGCCTCACCAGGGCTATCATTGTTTCTCTGATGGAGTATGTTGTGACATCAATCTATGAAGCACTATCCCCAGTTAAGTTCCTTTGACCCAATGCATCTCATCCTCGTGCCTTGGGAAAGGGATTATACTACAGAATGCAAAAGACAAAAGTATTAGATAACTGACTTTTGAAACTCAAAAGGTCCCAGCCAAGAGGAACAGAAGTGAAAACCAGAAATTAAATTTAGTTTCTGCTCTGCAATTTGTTCCTGCTATATTAATCTCAAATTAAATTTTTATTTTAGGCTAGGACCTTGGTGGTTGAAATGCAAAGGTAGGGTGCTTGACATTCTTTGCATTAACTTTGCTGTGATTTAAAAATGGAAGGGGTTATATCACCAAATGCCTTTTACTTATTATAGTAAGAGAATAAAAATAATAATGTCAAGATATAATTTGGGTTTTTTTTCTCTCTCTTTTCTAAATATTTACTTCTGAATTCTTAAAGGACTTTTGTTACTATTATCATCATGTTGTTGCTGTCATTCAGGGCATTTTTCCATGACACTTCCAAGTCTGGAGGTTTTTCAGAAACCTAAAGTCCTAAAGGGTTGGTATTTATGTGGTTGCTCTTTTAAGAAGTATACTTACTTCTAAAATAATAATGTTTAAAAGACATTGTGTTTTGTTTTTTTAATTTGTTTTTTTTTAGATGCACATGACAGTAGAGTGTATTGTAACATGTTATAATACATACATGGAGCATCATTTATTCTAATTAGAATCCCATTTTTGCAGTTGTACATGATATGGAGTTTCACTGGTTGTATATGACATTGTGTCTTAATGGAAGATATTTCCAGAAATTGGATGACCACTTAAGCATTTTACCTAAAGTTAGCCCTGAAGTAAAAACTACTTTAGGACTAAAAATAAAAGGTTTCTAAAAGTAAAGGCAGGCTCCTGAGATGTTACCTCTTCTAGCCTCCAGAATAGAGGAATGAGAATCTAAAATCCGTTTGTTTGTTTGTTTTTTTCTATCCTTTTCCTTCAAGAATGTCCAGTCTTTGTTTCTAATGCTGTTAAAACAATCTGAGGCACTGAGGCCAGGGAATCCCACAGTATCCCACCACAGCACACAGCATTTCATCTTACAGACTCACCCACCCACCCAACCCCCACTGCTTGGGCCAGAATTGCTACTGTTTCAAATCTTCATTCTAGGCACAACCAGATGGACATAAAATAGAAGGCTGCTTCCTAAAGTAGCTGATGGGCAAAGGAGACAGAGAGAACAATGATGGCACTTGCAAAGGCAGGGAACTCAATAAGAGATGGGAGCAGTCAGGGTGGGGGAAATTGACCCATGAGAAGCAAACCCATCTTTTTATTAAGTCATGCACTTTAAAAAATTCATAATCATCATTATCATTATTAAACTGGAGAAAACTTCAACATTGACCTTATTACAGACAGCATAAAACCAATAAAAAGGGAAAAGGAAAATACAAAAGGAAACCCTACTAATTATAATCCCTTATGC